CTGGTTGTACGTCTGGATCTAATCGTATTCGGTGCTTGCCAGGGAACTGTCCGATCCCCTCGAATACGTCCTTGTACTCCTTCTTGATCTCCTCCGCTGTCTGGATAGCGTCAACTGCCAGTACAAGCTGTATTAACTTGAGTGACAGGCATGCGCTCAAACTCAGCACGGGGGTTGAATTGGCTTTCACGACAAAGAAGCTGAGGTTCTGTGTCCTCCCTCTGTGCTTGCAAGGAAGTGAGCACTCTCCTAGCACCTCTATCTGCATATTGCCGTAGCCGTACAGTCTTGTTTTGGTTGGTTTAAGCGTCTGGTTTCTGCCCCTCAGCTTCCTCCACTCTTTCTCCGGTAGGACATTGACTTGTGCCCCAGTGTCTAATTTGCATCTGAGGATGTCATTCCTCCCGGCGATATGTAGTTCTACAAATGCCTGGTCTCCTTCGTCATGTTTTCTGCACACAGTCTCTATGTGGAAGGCATGGAGATCCTCTTCTACCGTCCTCACTTCCTGGACATTCTTCGTCCTGCACACTGATGCGAAGTGATTGGGACGGGAACACTTGCGACAGGTCTGCCCGACAGCAGCGCATCTGTCGCCCTTTTGATGCTTTCTGCCGCATCTACCACACGTGTTTGTAGGCCTAGTACTAGTGTACTTTGGGATGCCCCCACTGCCACCTGACGCTCTGGCTTTCTTGTAGCTACGGACGTCTCTGGTCTTATGTTGGGTCTGCACTCCGTGTACTGTTGCCGCGGACTGGGTGATCGATTTCAATGTGGATTGGCTGGACTCGAAGCTCCTGGCGATATCCAGGGCGTTTGCTAACGTCAGCTCTGATCCCTTATTTATCAGTTTCACCCGAACTGCGTCTGAGTTGGTACCGAACACTAAACGGTCCACGATCATCTCATCTGTGTCTTTGAAGGCGCAGTCCCTGGCCAACAGTTTCAAATCTGTCACAAACTGTTCCACCGGCTCTTGTGGACCCTGCGTTCTATTGTGGAACTTGAAACGCGCTAACACCTTATTCGATTTCGGTTTGACATATGCTTCGAACGCGTCATAGTAGGTCTTCGGTTTGCTTTTGTCAGCATCATTGGCAAACTGGAAAGTGTTCAGGATATCTCGACCCTGTTCGTTGATCCAGATCTGCAGGAAACTGGCTTTCTCTGCATCTGATTTTTCACTTAACGGACCAGTAAACATTAGCTCAACATGCTGCTTGAAACGTTTCCACTCTTCGTCTAAGTTGGCACTGTCCCAGTTTATCTGTGGTGGCTTGCCTGTGTACTCCATTGTGTGGTTCTTGTTTACTTCAGGGTTTTGAGACTATTCAAACTGTCAGAATTTGACCTGTGTCTTCTACCCTATGCCCTGCCACTGGCTTGGCTGAGACGCATTCCAGATGCGATCTGGCAGTCTAGACTCAAGTCCCTTGTGGGAGTATAGGAATTTTCCTACCTCGTGTTTTTCTGCCTTGTCCACTGGACTTTACCTCTACTTTTCCTCCTTCTTCACGAGTTGTGGGCTGTGGTTCGACTGTCCTGACACCATGTTATATTCTCGATCTTGAACTTGAGACGAGGCGGGCCGATACCATTGGATGGTCTTTAATCAGGAGGGTTAGTAACTCTGAGGTACATAGATGCGTCTGCTCAATCTGGGGTCCCGGCAGAAAGAGAGAGCGTGGTAGGGTCCGGTTACTTGAGACCACTTGGACTAGTCTAATACACGTAGTAAGAGAGGGGTGTTTCCTGGCTTGACTTTAATATCACTACACTACCTGTCACAAAGTGTACCTGTAATAATGAAAGCAGTTAGTTATGTAGATCTGTTACTTACCCGTGGACTTCTTCGGTTTAAAAGCTAACCCCGAGTTGCCCCCAAATCTTCATGCTAGGCGTCAATGAAAACAGATAGCTTCAACACTATTTCAGCACTATGGACTACTTTCAGCACCAAGGACAGTGCCACAAGAGATTGATTTAACACTATCTTTGACAATTTGAAAAGAAAGTGCAGAAAACAAGCACAAGGCTAGGAATAGTGCAATGTCTCATGGTGCTGTCCTTGGTGCTGAACATAGTGTTGGTGCTATCTGTTTGCATTGGAGCCTTGTGTTAGGCTATGGGGACTACTCAGGGTTAGGTTGATGAAGGTTAGACATCCAGGTAATGAGATACTTTAGAAATTGTTCCTCAAGCAACTGGATAGGTTTTGAAAACTGTCAGACATTTTAAGTAGCATCCACTAAATGGACTACTACTAGTACCACTACTAGTGGATGCTACTTGAAACATGTGACAGTTTTCAAAACCTATCCGACCACTACTTTTTGTCAGGGTTAGCTTACAACCAGCTATCAAGTTTTGAAAATGTACAGATTGCTTTGATCACAATTTTTTATCGTGTATGACATGAAAGTCACAAGGGATTTTTCTATAAAGACACACTAATTTAATCTTATGGATGACATCTTCACATGCATTGATTTTTGCCTCCTATGGAGGATGGCACTATAAAATCAAGTCAGTGTGGTCTAACTACCGATTTTCTTTCACTACAGGCCAGGTCTCATTCCTATACTCGTCACATGGGAAGCCGGGCCATGGTGTCCTGGGCTCCGTGTCCCGCCTGGTGTCCTGTGGGACAGACAAACGTGTCCACATCTGGGAGATAGGTGTGGAGGGGGACACCATCAGGCTCATCTGCCTGTCAACTGTGCAGTGCCAAGTCACACCCATGTTGATCTCCATGGTGGGCAACATTCTGGCCTTGGTGACCATAGACGGTGTCCTCTCCATGTATAAAACATACACGAAGGAAGAAATGACTCAAGATAAGACAACTTACATTCCAGGTAAGTTGCTTTTCAATAGTTGAATGGCTTGGAATTATTCCTCCTTTTAAAACGTCCTTACAACAGATTCATTTCCTTTTCAGATGAAATTCACGAGTCCATCATAGGGAAATGTTACTCCAGCAACTGGATAGATTTTGAAAATCTGTGTACTTTCTTGAGTACCATTTTCCACTTGGAACATTTTCAAAATCTGTCCAGTTGCTTGAGTAGCATTTTACTTGTGTATCACCAGGATGTCTAACCTTCATCAACATATTCATGAGCTTAACTTCCAAGAAAGAAGTGGAGAAATTATGTTGACATCATGTGCGACTATTTCTCTGTTTCAGTGTCGTCCTGCATAGTCCCACTCACACACCACATCGAAGATGACCACAAGAAAGGAGTCACTGCTCTTTGCTGCTCAAGGACTCTTGGCCTGTTTGCAACCACTGGGAAGGACGCTTGTGTCAAGATCTGGAACACAGAAAACAAGCTGCTCAAAGAACTTGTCCTTGATAACACGCTACAAGGGGTGTGCTTTGCAAACGACAGAGGAGACCTTCTGATTGGTTACCAAAGTCATGTCAGTTATATCCCATTGTTGAACTACCTTCCGAAGCCATACCTTGAGGAACTTGATGCAACCGATGTCTTGGACGAAGAGTTGGAAGAGCCTGTGCCATATGATCCCTCCCTGCAGCTACTGTTCACTATGGATTCCATCCCAGTCTTCCCTCTGGACTTGAATGAGAGGAGGGAGATGGAGTTGCAACAAGTCTCCTCCTCTGTGCCTGCAACCCAAGTGTCGGAAATGGACTTGCAAATACCATTTTCCACTAAAACCTCATCGCTCCTCTCGATCAAGCCTTCCTCCCATATCAGGCAGAGTACAAGACTTAGTGCAAGGGCTTCTCAAACTGCACCAGTAGCAGCGTCACCATTCAGACTTTCTCCTCCATTAGAGCCCATAGGAGCAGTCCCTTCAAGTGTAAAGGAAGAAGAGGAAGAAACTGCTGTAGAAGAAGAAGAAGTAGGGCCTACAGAAACAGTGCCAGATGAGACCACATCAGACCAGGTGACAGACAAGGATGGAACAAAAGAGCCAGAGAAAGAAGAAGAGGAGGAGGACCCACTCTTGAAGCGCAAGCCTATCATAGCTCCCGATGGGTACATCCCTAACTCTGTCATCCGATTCATCATTGGTTACAAACCACCCCCAGAGAAGGTTATCCACGAAGAGTGGAAGCTGAAGGCTGCTCCATCAGGTGAATTACCAAAGGTGGAAGAAGGGGAGGAGGAGGAGGAAGCTGAGGAGGAAAAAGAGCTTTTGATAGATTGGAGCAGCTCACCAGAGTTAGACATCAAAGAGGATGACGAAAGGTGGAAGCTTCCGTCTCCTGTCCGATTTGGGGAAAAGAAAGAGAAGCCCCGAGAGCAGAAAGCAAGCCCAAAATTGGACTACAAATTCAAGAAAGTTCACTTTCCGCCTTCTTCAGGAGAGGAATCACCTAGCGGCAAAAAGTCAAAGCAGGTAAAGGAGAAGAAAGAATGGGAAGGACCTACCTTGCTTCGAAATATCGTCAACTACAGTTGGTTTCCCCGCGACAAGCTAACTGACCAAAAGCTGACTGTGGAAAACGTCATGGCCATTCTTCTGCCTTTGTTGGAAGACACAAGTAACTTAGATAGGCACAAGAAGGTTTGCATGGCAATCACAGATATATACAAGGAGCTTGGACTCAGCAAAGAATTGCTTGACAAGGTTATCAAGATTCTGCTTGGCCAACTTAGCTGTAGGAATGCTATCATCAGAAGAAATGCAGTGAGAACACTTGGTGCATTGGGGCTTGACAGAAAGGTAATCCTCTTGGCTCTAATATCTGCTCTTACAGACCATGACAAAGGTGTGCAAGAGGAGGCTCTTAATGCCATAACGACAGGCTCTGGTGTCAAAACCAAACAGGACCTCGCACGAATGCTGCAGCAGGTTGGGGTTCTCAAGGGGCCAGTCAAAAACATGGATAGCCAGAATTTGAAGGAGTTGGAGGAAAGGATGGGGAAAAAGGCTCATGATCAAGCCCTGCAGGACAGCTTGTCTGAGATCAGTGCAAAAATAGCCATGTGGAATGACAGGATTGACCAGAGGCACGCCCTTCCACCACTTGAGACCGATTTCTTAGACTTCATAGACAAAGAAGACCAGCTTGACAAGAAGAGAGGAAAACAGAAGACCAAAGGGGCAGCTCAAATTTCAGGAAAGCAGAAAGAAAGGGGTTCTCCTGGTTCAAAGGCGGGTAAAAAAACTACTATGTCCTTCAAAAGGCACGCCAAATCACGCCCAAAACGCCCCCAACCAAAGGTCACTGCCAAACGTCAATCACGTGTCAAAGGAGATCTGGCTAGTGGAGAGAGGTGGACACTATCCCACCATAACCAGGCCATCCGAAAAATGTTGATTGCCAAGGAGCTTGAAGACACCCGCAGCTCAGTTGGGCAGGGAACTGTGACAACAACACAAGACCACAGCAGACATGTGGTAGAAGCGCCGCCTAGCAGTCGGAGTGAAAGTCCAACAGACAGCACCAGGCATGCAGCCAGGGTCGCAGGCTCAGGAACCAAAGAAGGTCAAAGAGAATTATCAGAGGCTGATACAAGCTCGACATCCCACAAGTTGCCTGGAAAGGAGGCTATTGATGACAAATCAGTCTGCCAAGATGATGACACAGCAGTGGGTACTGATGATGCAATGTCAACAGCTCTGACTGACGACATTGCATCCACAGCCCCAACAGTGGAGGAACTGGAGCTTAGACTTAGAAGGACTTTCACAGATGACTATGCAGCAACCGAATCCAGCTATGATGACTCAGGATTGGGCCAGATGTCTGATACCTCCAGCTACATGGATGGTACGTATTTGGTTTTCAATAGCTTCTCGATACGAATGCTGCATATTTATTTTTTTAATACATTGTACATGATTTCAATATATCTTCACTGTGAAGTCGTGTGGGTGTTAAGCCCCAAACCCAGAGGTTCTTGGTTTGAATCCTGTTAAATGTCACTGATGTTATGCTTACTTTGGAATTTCAGCACTGTGCACGACTTTCCTCACTCCGTCCATGTGAAAAATGGGTACCTGACTTTGGTTGGGAAGGTAAAAGGTGGTGGAAGGAGAGGTTTGGGCTAAGTTTGCCTTCCAATACTGTGCCCTTGACACAGTCGGCAGTACAGAGTGCAAAAAGGCTATCGGACTAGTACCTTTCAACAAAATAGATTTGATGTGTTTTGTCTTTTTCAGGATTCAGGGTCCGGAAGCCCATGCAGACACATTACTTCCCACCTATCAAATCCGGCATCCCATTTGAACTGAGGAGTGACAGCGACAAGTCGTTTTCTCCATACAAAGAGGAGGGAGGAGAAGAAGAGGAGACGACGGAGAAATGGCGACAGCTCTTCAACAGACCGTCGGCGCAAAGACGCAAACGCTTGTACGAGGAGCGCGCCAAGAAGCTACGCGGGAAAGGGGCCAAAGCAAAGCAGAGTCTCCCGCCAATTGTTTACATGAAGGACATGAAACAGTTGACAAAGGGCGACTTGGGTCAACGTCTCCTTCTCAGTGTAGCGACACATTTTGCACCAGATGCAAGAAAGAAGCTGGAGGGAAGGGATCGACATAGGATCACTAGTCTCCCACATAAACTGGGCTCCCACACAGATGTAGAGAGCTATGGGTGCTCAAACTTTGGCACAATTAACATGCTGTGGACCACAATGGCACCACAGGGACCAGAGATCCCCGTCTTGTATCCGCACAACTCAACCTTCACGCCCACTAAAGATGGTGCTGCACACGGTCAAAGACAACCTAAAAAGCCGTTTCGCGTTCCATTGCCATCTCTAGAGATGTTGACACAAGTGCAGGCCATCCAGGAAAGTGGTCTGTTGAGGGAGAAAAGTTTGAAACAGAACTACAGCAGATCTTACCCCTCTGTTACCCCTTACAGTTGGTCTACCCCCCTCCCGCCTGCAAGAAAACTGAACAGCACCCTGAGGAAGCTTGAGCTTTCGGAGGTGGACCTAAGTGCCAAACCAGCGGGGAAAGAAAGCTGTGTGGCCCACAAAAGGGGGCGGCACAGATGTAAAGTGTGTAAAGGATACTACTCATCACCAGAACTTGCAGGAAGACCAGATTCTGAGGAAGACCCTCCTTCAAGTGCTGCTCCACCACCATCCAGGGCAGAAATGTGCAAAGTGATTTCTTTGCCCATTCTTGCATAATGCACGTAGACAATCATTCCTGTGCAGTTGAACAACAATAAAGATTGAGATGTCATCGGCAATGCTGAAAATAACACTGGCAGAAAATTTTTTTCTCAGTTGTGTTGCATCTTTGGTTACATAATGAAATGTTTAATGGATTTCTGAGGCAATACAATGAAAGAGAAGTTCAATGACGTTGTATGAAAATATTTCACGATTAAGTATGTGGATCCATCCAGAAAAAGATTTACTAAATAGAACGCTACGTTTCTCCGTGGCAGACTGGAATGACTTTAGGCAAACCTCTGGGCAACCCAGATTTAAAACTTTTGATAACACATGTGGAACCTGGTAAGAAAAAAAATACTGGCCTGTGATTGGCCCATCAGGAGAAAATCCTAATCTGCCATTGGCCAGGAAAATGCACTTTCTACGATTGGTCGTCTCTGATGGGGTTTGCTGTAAGGCTTTCCGACAGTTTTGATTGGTCAATGAAGAAGATCCAATCATTGTTGGCGACAAAATAGCGGTCCAGTTTGGCGTCCGGATGAGGACACCATGACGTCAAAGCTAGGCAGATACAATGGAGTTGATTACGTTAATGATCCCTTCACCACAGTAAGTATCTAGGCAGCAAAATTAATAATTATTTTTCCACAGACAGAGATTAGCCTGTGTCTCCTCTCACCAGCTTAAGTTTATCTTAAGGGTCTTTAATAAGTATGCTTAAACAAATCCAAACTTTCCAAACAAAACCCAAACCATAACCCTCCGCAGAAGGGTACCGTACGCATCTCCTTCCCCGAAGGCAATAAAGTTAAACAGGGCTAGTCGCGGCGCATGCGCACGTTACTCTCCAATCAGAGGTTTTAGTTTTGGCTTATTTTTAGTGTGTTTTTAGGCTTTTTTTATCGGGGTTTCTTCTTTTCACTGGAATTTTTCTTTACGTTGGGCTGGGTTGGGTTGGGTTGGCGCAAAAAAAAAAAAGATTTAAAGTGCAAAAAAGAAACCCTAAAAAAAGCCTAAAAACACGCCAAAATAAGACCAAGCCCAACCCTCTGCTTGTATTTTGGAGCGACGTACGCCACCGTAAGCACCTGCTGTAAGCCTCCTGTGCAGGCTCCGGGGCGGGTGGCAATTTTGATACAGCGTTTTGAAGAGTTTTTAGCGCGTTCTTTTAATAGCCGACTATCCTACCGCGGAGAGAAGGTTCCATTCCGTCCACGTGGTCGGCTATTAAAATAACGCGTTAAAAACGCTGTATCAAAATTCCCACCCGCCCCAGAGCCTGCATAGGAGTCTAGCACCTGCTGAACTTTATTGCAAGGAGCCTCGCATGTGGAACTTCAGACGAACATTTGACCTCTGTATCGCTATTCGACACTGTCCACGGACTTAGTCTCTAATCTTTTGATTCTATTGTTGACACTGTTTACAAAACAAAACCAGGCCGCACTCTGGTTCAACTTGAGAGGACTTTTAAGTCAAAACCAAAACATGTACGCACAACTGAGTGAAACCATAGAAGCAAAAGCTATATAGGCAACTGACGAACACATAATACAACGGAGAAGGATTACATGTAACATTTAAATACATGCAGAAGAGAGCATGTAGGCTGGGACTGCATAGACATTGTCATTTTAAACTTTTCAGCTTTGCAGCTATCAAAGGTAACGTTAACGTTACCCAAATCCCCGGCCCCTAAAGTTGAAGTTTTTTTTTTTGCAAGTCGGTTTTCCACTCACTTACTAACCCAACTACATTTCTTTGTTTCGTTTTTTCCCTTTATTTTGTTGTTTTGTTTAATTATCCTTTTCAATTCTTGGAGCGTCATCAGTTAGAAAACTGTAAACCTTCAGAAAATCTTAGATGGATGACGCCACATTGTAACATGTTGTTAATGATACCATGACAAAAAGGGATAGACCAGACAGACGGAACGACAAGAGAAAAGTGTGTCATTCATATTGTAGGATCCATAAAAGCTATGAATACCCTACCCCCTGCCAAGGGTGACGGATAAATATAACATTATATTTGATAAATGTCACCAACTGTTACAGGCAGCAACATTTACCCATCATCCTTTGCGCATGATTTACCAGGACGCATGCGCACAATGCAGACGATAAGTTTCCTCAGAAACGGGAGCCGGTCAGATTTGGGCGCAGTTTTTACCACATTTTTCACGGCTTTGAGACATTTTCTTCCCCCAAAGACCACATGCAGTAAGAACCTGACGTCTCCTTGAGGTAGAAGTCTTATTCTTCAGAAGAAAGCTGAGAGAAACAGGTTTGTGAGATCTTTGTTTATGAATGACCGTGTGTAGAAAGTCAACAAGGCCGCGCACTGGCGGCCTTTTCAGATCGATCTCGTTCATTTTTTTTGCCCTCTGGGATTTTTAGCGGGCAACATTTTACTGCTAAAATAAGAGGTCTGCTGCATTTCCGTCTCAGTTCGATCAAGCACATCGTAGTTGACCGATGAAGAAGTCTACCTCAGTCTATTTTCGGACGAAAAAATCAATTACCAAGGATACAGATAATTAAATTGGACGGTTTGATCTTTGCTGTTTTTGCGGTCTGAGGGTCCAAAACTGGATTTCCGTTCAGCAAAAATTGCTATTAGAATTATAATATCTAACGTTACAAACGTAGACCACAACGCTTCCTGATATCGCTACCAGACCGGCAGAAAATATTCCATGATGACACCGCAACCGCGACACTATAAATATACATTTTCCTCTATAACTCTTGCCCTCCGGGTTTTGCACAATGAAACGTTATTTGTCAATCTGCCAAACGTTGTTTGTAGAACTCTTGTTGCTCTCCAGGAGTGATGACTCTTGTCTACATGGCTACAAAGAAAAATGGAGAGAGCATCACGCCCCTCCCACCCTTGTCCTCAGTCAGTGTGTTGCTGGTCATCAATAAAAGATGTACAGTATGGCTGCAGGGGGAGTTTGGAATACATATGGAAATCATTTGTACCCATAACCATTAAGTGCAATTGTCTTCTGTTTAGACTAAATTTAGAGTGTTAAAACTGTGGAATTATTGTCTATGCTGTGTGAAAAACATTCTTTTTTCTCCTCTTCTGTCTATATAATTATATACATGTACTATATCATATGGGCAATCATGCAAGATCTTTATTCGTATTTAGATACAGATTCATGTACAGATATTGTCACCAAGTGTTAATACCAAGAGAGACAACTGACTCTGAACTGAACCAAGCATAAAACTGAGTACCTAGAGACCAAATCTAGCGACATAATACTAGACTTTAAACAAGGACAACAACAACAACAACAGATATATATTCATGTACAGATACAGATACAGATTTTTCCGAGTATGATGACCGTGTCAGTCCCTATACCTACTAGTAAGTGAGGAGGGTTGACACGATGGCCTTTGCGTCTTCTGTCTAATGTTCTGAATAATGGTACATCCCAAAAGCAACAGTGACTGCCATGGAATAGATAATGCCTGCATGTTGCAATTAGTTCTGAGTGGTGTTTTGTGTAAGGCAGACTCGGGGTAGACGTCAGAGGTCGCTAGGGTGAAAGACAATCAGCGGGATTGCATGCAAAGATTTTGTCATTTGATTAAAAACCCAATACCAATCATAATCTCTTGCCATGTACTGTGTACAAAGGATGTCCTCTACGTAATGTGTGTGTGGAAAACATTATGAGTGGAAATGAAAGCAGAATTTCAATTCTTTGATTGCAAAAGGAAGCAGCATTTCCTGACTGGCAAATTATAAGCTTAGGCCAAACTGTTTTAATAATGTGGTTCTCAGATTTGCCCTCTTGATTTTTTTCTTATTTGAAAAAAATATTCAGGTTCTGAATCAACTCCAAAATGCTTGTATTTTGGCCCCACCAGTTGAAGAAAGTCCTTGTCTTGCTAGTTGTTACTATTTTTCCATCTTTCAGTGCAGTTGTTTCATTAAAATTTCAAAATTCATTGTTTGAATTATAAACCAGCGCAGTATGTTGACTCTTGATGACTCCTAGCATAGCTTTTGGGGGCTATCATAAGATGCCTCGGCCTGTTTTTTTTTCACACTGTTGCATCAAATTTTGGCTGAAATAATCCAAGAACCAACAAAATGAATTGGTATGGCCTTAGGACAGACATGATGTCATCATTATAACCCCCAGTTTCCTTTCCTCTTGGCACCACCAATGAAAGCAAATCTAATGCTACATGTCTGTTTGATAATTTGGCTAGGGGAAGGAGGGACCAATCAATTATTCAGGGATAACTATGATTCAGCCCAACACCTGCCTGTTGTATTGGCTTTTCTTTGTAACATATCGACCTGCTTCCCGTGCTACTTGAAACTGCCACTACTGCAAAGTCTACATGATCCAAGGTTATTCCTTGCGTTATAGCATGAGGCCCCCTACAATCTATTCTGAACATGTATTTGTGATTATTCACTTTGTCAGGCAAATGCTCAATGGGGCAGAGTGCAGACAGTAGGGAAAAGACTATCCCTAATCCAATGAAAAACTGATGATATTACATACATGTATAAAGGATGGGTATATCTGCCCAAATAAGATAGATAAGGCTAGACCTGGTATATTTCCCTAGAGGGAGGGGGCTATGATTATGCCCATGGCTTGAATTCGAAATACAATTTACCAGAAGTAAAACTTCAGTTTGTGCCTTTATGTGTACTTTATCCTTCATCACTTCTTTCTAAGTCACAAAATGCAACCAAGACATGATACAATGTATTTGATACATTACTGTTGTTTGTATGACTTAGTGTTTCGTGCCCCCTGTTGCTATGCCAAAACTATGCTTTTTTATAGGAGCTGGTAAATATTTAAAAAAAATCTGTATAAAACCAAGGTTTTAACTTTAAGCTCCATTATCAGACTGAGAGCTCCGTTATTCTGTTTGTATTAAATATAGAAAAAAAGATTTTATTAGAGCATACCATGACTCATGGACCGGAGGTCAGAGAAACTGTAATTTGCAGCAATATCACAGTTAATTTGATTACTCCTTTCCGCTGCGCATTCTTTTATCGCGAATCAATACATGCAGTATTAATTACAATTATAGCAAATCAGGTTATTGTCTCCCTTGGAATCCAAGGCCACATTTTGTAACCAAATTATCGGCATTATAATGTGGATTCATTGTTGGTATTGTTTGTACCAGTAAGAGAAACTTTGGTAACCTAGTATTCTGTTGTTGGTAGCCCACTGAGTGGTAACATGCTATGGATCAGTGCCTTACGAAAACCCAATCATTCACCTTCTTCTGTGGTCGTGACTGCAATGCTGCTTGTATAAAAACACAGGTATAGGTGTGGTATGTAGGAAATCCTGTATAGAATGTTATGATTATACATGGCATACTGAAAAAACATCATTATCTTGTTATGTTTGCCGTCAATGGAGGCAGTGTGTTGCAGTGGCTATTGTTTGTTTACTCTTCAGAAAAGCTGTGTTTATATTCTCTTTCATTGGGGAGGGTTTAGCCTTTTTTCCCCATCTCAGGTGGTTTTAAGGCATGGCTTTAATGCACGTAAAGCCTTTCATCTGGTCAAATGTCTGATAAAGGGAGTGAATCCCTTTAAGGTATGTGGGTCAATCCAAGTAGGCCTGTGGCAAAAGAGGATACAACTCACATAAATACCCTCTCTACGCTCCCTTTATTTGGACAGCTTGACCCAACTTTCTCTGGACAAAAACGGCCAGTTGTTCAAAAACTCTTGTGGTGTTTTAGTGCCTCAGAGGTCTGTGTTTGACATATCGTGTGACATGAAAGTTTATTCAGCTAGCAAGCTTTAATTAAGATTTCTAGATACTTTATAGGATTCAATAGCTGCCAGGTATGTATGGTTAAAAAATTTTGCCCTGGTTCATATAGTATGGTGTGGTCTGTGCAAGAAAATTGAGATTTGCAACAATTGAAACCCCTACAGGATAGTATGTTGACACAGACTTTGTGACTTCGGCATACACTCTCCATGTGGTCTATACACTGGCCACTGGCCGCGTTGGCAGACGTAGACACGTTCCGACAGTTTTGGCAACCGCCGCTGACAAAACTCAATGTGTACAGATCAACCATGACGCTGTTTTAGTGTGGTTGAATCTCACTCCAAGCCTTAACAAACAGATTATGGTATAAGATGTTTTGCCTGAATACCAACTTTTCATGGTGGCCAGTCTAAAAGAAACGCTTGATGAAATGTTTTGAATTGGCAGCTTATGTTTTTAGGTTAGTAATCATATCTTGTTTTATAAAATCATCATCATAAAATTCAGTACCGGTACTGTACCTGTATAGAGTTATACTAATTATATGCTTCTTTGTGACCTAAAATAGGGAAATAGCTGGTCTTCTTTAAAGACCAACTTTACCAAAACATAATGAGGCACCTGTTTGCAGTTCATTCATCAAGGTCTAGTTGTTTACAGCTTCGCCTATTGTAATATAATCTTCTAAAAGTATTTTGTTAGTCATTGTTATATGCTCTGATACAGAAACGGTATTGACATTGTCACCATAGACCCGTATCGGGGACTTGTTTGTCTGCCATGGAGACAGGGTCACCCACGACCATGTTTGAAGGTTCCATGTTGGAGGATGTAAGTGTGTTTGTATAGAAAATAACCCTAGCTCTGGGGACCAGAGGATACTCAGCATGGGTCAAGGTGCTTACAGTGCTGCACTGTAAGGTATGGACAATACACATACTGGATTTTGCTTGATGATTTGCGACTGAGCTGATTTAAGCTAGGCCTTTTTTAAGGTGCTGTGACTCCTGTCCAAAGGGTTAAGATGCATTTCATTGTTCCAAACAAAAGCTTATGGCATAGCAGGGTTACCCAATTTGTTAAATTGCGGGGCCTCCTGGTAGAGCTAGCTAAAAAATCAATACAACATGTCGTCTGAAGAAGACCACTTGTACTAAGTACACAGCGGAGGAATTCTGTTTAGTGATGGAGGAAGAAAGACATTCTAAGAATGTAGCTCTGTTTAACAATTCCTTCTAGAGTGTTTGGTGCCTCCTTAGATTTTTTTAGTCCAACAGTTTGATGGCTTAAACTCTCAATGTTTTTCTCAACATTCAGTCATACGTGTGGCTGACAATTAGATTTGAGTAAGGTTGACTAATTCAAGGTGGAAATCTTCAATTAGTTGCGCTAACTTATTTTGGCATAGCTAACGTAATAAGCAGGTAGCCATGTGAAGTGTTCAAGTTGTTTTATGTTTATCTAGCCAACAGCACATATGATTGGTCTAAAAGTCCACATTTACATAAACTAATTAGCAATTTCATGCTGTCATCACTCATACTGTTTAGGCTGTTGAACATATAAGGACCATAATTTTGTTGTTGTGAGTATTATACTCTCTGTACTTTTGCGAGTAATATCCTTTCTGTACTTGAATGATATGAAAGTTCTTTCACCTGGCATAAGTGTGCTAAGGCTATGAGCTATATACAAATATGGACAAGAATGTGTTCAAAATAACTCACGGTCACATGCGCATACCCTCTGAACAATATCTTATTCCTGCACAGCGGCGCACCAGAGGTAGCCACGCCTTTAAATACAATATTATCCCTGCAACGAAAGACTGTTTCAAATTCTCATTTTTCCCACGCTCGATACGAGAGTGGAACAGTTTACCTGCCGAGGCCATACAGGCACAATCTGTGGAGGCCTTTCGGGCCTCTCTACCGTAAGGTCCACGCACCTCCCCCCCCCCTCAGTGATACCCCTCACGGGGTTGTTAGAGGAACCAAAAAGAAGAAGAAAAAAGAAGAAGAATGTTCGACTGGGCCAAGAGCAATTGATGTTTTCCAAAATACCAGAAGCATGTGAAGTTGTGAACAGCTGTTGGTGGTACAAAGCGTTGCTATGCACAGAGGAAAACCAATTAAGCATAACTGGACGATAGCTGTGTTGCTATTAGAGGTAGTCATACAGTAAGGCTTTTTATCAAATCTTGCCACAATATATTGTGCCTGCCATTTGATAGGATGGTGTATTTTGGACTTACTATCAGTTGTAGGTTATTCCCAGCGGTAGTTCAGAGTTCGTGTATACACTGGTACATGTAGGTCATAACAAGTACTAAATGTGTACTGCTGTGCTGATGAAGGAAACTAAGTTCAACATTTAATAGATCTATTACCATAGTATATATACTGTACTAATTATAGTAGAGATATCACACATTGGTAGACGTCCTTGTTACAAGACCTTGACCTTCATCTATGTAGGACATGAAGAAAAACTTGTTCTAGATTTAGGGAATCAATTATAGGGAAATCGTGGTACATTTGTTTGCCTTGTCCTCAAGTCCCTAAACATAATATGTGCTGTAATGAGAAAAGTGAGGTTATTTGATAAGTTTTGTCATATATCACAAAATTCTGACTGGAATATGATTTTATTGAGGGTTATGAAGGCAAACTGAGCAAACTTTTACTCCGATAGTGTAAATTTGCCCTTAATTGCTTCTCAGTGATTTACTGCAGTCTATTATATTCTAATGTACTGTGAGAAGTCCATAAAACAATCTGCATTTTATAGACCTCCTGTTGAGGTATTGTGTCTTTGCATAGCTTCATGCAGGCAATACCAGACCAGCCTAAATAGTTTTCCATGTGTGTTGTCACCTAAATGATTATTGATCCCTCCAACAGGTAGTAGGGAGGTCATTTGTAACAAGAACAATGCAAATCTTGTGTGCCCATTCCTTCGGTGTCCTGACACACACACAGCAACCACCGTAACACAGTCTGCTTGTGATCGTTTACTAGGTTTATGAGGGGAAATGTAAACTTAGGAATAGTTTATCGGTTCCATGTCGCTGGTCGTACACCAATCGGGTCATGCATTGTGTTTGAGTCTGGTCGTCAACCAAGCGAAACCACTCTTTGTAAGCAGTCGGACACCCTACGCCGTGGATGGCGACTTATGTTTGTGCATATAATATTAACTTAAGGCTTTTGTACGTGCTAAGGTACGTTGGTTATGAAAGGGCGTGCAGTGTGTTTGTTTGGTCGTGCTTTGTGTTGATCACGTATGTACCCGCGTCCTAGACAGACGCGGGAAGAAAAACACAGTACACACTAGTGTGCCTGCACATTCACTCTTACCTCTCGGAAGTCACACTGTGTGAGTTTGTTAGGGGATGAGCCTTGTGCAATTGTAAGGGGGGCATTTCTCTTGAAGTGGTTCGTGACATGTACATTGTTAGTTGCTACAGTACAGAGGAAGTGTTGAGAACTTGTTTGGCAAATCTAATCATATATTTTTTCATACCTACATTGTATTGTGTTGTTTGCAATTAAAAGTGAGGCAATTTTACCGAAGAATGTCTAGAGGTCCTCCTACCTAGCAACAAATAACGCTGTCCCTAAGCCTTGATCTTTACCCCCACTTTGCTTTCTTTCTTTAATTCCACATGTCGTAACCTTCATCAATCAGTTGTGGTCTATATCCCCATGGATATACCACATTGGGCATGTTTGTTACAGATTGCCTTTTAGCCCAGCACGTACTAGTGTGTTTGTAAGGTACACATGGGTCGCTCGTTTGTTCAAAGCTACAATATACCAAGTGTAAAATCTTTGTGCTCGAAATTCCGCCAAGGCTTTGGAACCGTTTAAGACTAAAAGAAGGCAGGTCTTGTCGGTTATGGTCTTTCTTGTATGTTAGTGTTCAACTGTAGATATTTCCCAATTGGTTGTGTTAGAGACCATCCACAAAAAAATGAAACAGCAGATCTGGTTGGTATTTAGAATTTTATTGACTATTTTAAACAACAAAGTTACCAGGACAGTAGATATATATGCAGGAAGGTCTTAATTGGTCGACTTAAGTTTGTCATTGTCTTCGTGTTCTTCTCTATGTGTAACTAGAGAAAATTTACTATATATATTCAAGTGAAAAACATAAGCTTTTTTGGTGAGTGATTGCTACAGCTAGTACTTCCATAAGAACAATTCTTATTCAGAAATTTTACATGTACAGTGTATTTTTAATCATGAAGAAAAGGCAGAAAACGTAAGTCTATTTTGGTTTAAAAAACACACCAAAAAACAGGTTTATCTAAACATAGGTAGTCTTGTGTCCCAGATGAGCTGTTCTTTTGTTTCTCAGAATCTCCTGAATCTGTTCATCCCTCCAGGCTGTGTCTTATCAACATAACGCACTACTTAAGATGTCAACAATGATCCGACTTGTACCTGGATAACACAAATCACATTGTAGGGAGTAGAGTGTGTCATTGTTACATTCTCTTGTAACCAAAGTGTAGGAAAATGGATATTCATGCTTATATGAAAGTTTCTTAAGCAGGCATTAGAATTTAGATGATCGGAAGTAATTTTGGGCAGGATATTTTGAAATTCATCTTGCCAGCACCAGATTGTCTGACCGTAAATAATATGTAGCTTTATGGTATTAAAATAGGCACGGAATAGTCCTCTCCTGTTTGTATACATTTATAGGATTATGGTCATAGGTATCACATATCTGACATATAGTGACATATATATAGTGACATATGTCAACAATAACATTCCATAGGAATGTGTTAAAAATTTATACCTGTATCATAATGACGAGATTAAGGCAATTACTGCTAGCAATGATATTGTATCATGTATTATTCTGCAAAGCAATATTATTGCGGTTACTATGGTACAAAAATATGAGGCCAACAAAAGTGCCTTGAGGTGATTCACATGTGGTCATTAGTTATACTTCAAGGATGTGGAACCTGTCATGGATTACACAGTCGACTTGTTACATTGTGAGGACCTGAAAGCAGTAACTGTAAATCACTTTATGTTCGCAGTAGCAAAAGTTTGTGGTATGAGAAAAATGGACGTGTTCACGGAACTATACCTTTGCAGTGGTGGCAGGTGCAGCAAAAAGAAATTCGGCAAATTATTTGTTCACTGTAATGATAACTTCGCGGTACAGAAGCGAAAACCAGGAATATAAAACTACTGCAAAAAAATCGTGAATTACAGTAATATGCCATCTATAATTCAGTAATCATCATGACGCCAGAGCTTTGCATAAGATTGACAAACCGGCAATGTGAAGACATTGTCAGATTCAACGTTTTAGAGATAGGTTTGGACTTCTTTGCTGTGCACTTACAGTCTGAGAAAAGATGCATGTAAGGTACTAACATTAATTTTATTTTGGGATAGATGTTATAAATGTCGCCTGATGTCGGCTTTGTATTGATGTGTGCAATCAATTCATTGCTTGGGGAAAAGCTACACGTACATGTACATGTACAAATTTACTAGTACTGGGGTATTATGTCCAACTGGAAATGTCTATGTGGTTGTAGTCTGATAATAATTAATATGGTTATTTGTTTGTACTAGGGAATGTGGATAATTACAAACACTAGAATACAGGATTGGTAATGTTGACTGGGCATGGGCACCTACTACCAGCTTGTTTTCCCTGGATCCTACCATTCATAGTATAGGGCATAAACCTGTACATGTACAACTGTATGTGCTAGAATGTTTGTTGTCTAGTCCTGTGCCTCTTGTGTTTTTCTTCTCATAACCTGTCCAGAAATCAGGTTATATTGGTCTTACTGGTATTGTGAATGAAACTGCTTAGCAGCTGTCTTTTTGACTTGGCTCAGCAACCTTATTCTAATATTTCATGCCAGTATATGTGGATAGATGAACTTTATTGTCTAGGACTTGCCCCCATGGATTGGGTATGGCCCCTTTCTATATTGCCTAAGAATACCCCCCCATACTATGATTATACTATGAACTTTTGAATTACATTGTACAAGTATAGAAACTACAGACAATGCCACGTTGGTAACTGACCTTATGTTTTCTAAAGAGGGATTGCATGTGGTATTTTGTGCTTTGAACTGCCCTTAATAATGTAGCACACATGTACGTGTAGGTATTGTAATGCCTTCAAATCCTCTTTCTGGGATATATTATATATATGGGGTAGTCAATGAATAGCATGATAGCAAAATATTTAAGCTTATTAGATGATATTAATGATTTGTAAAGCTAAATATTATGGATAAATTATTGATAGATGATAATTGTTAGTAACAACAAGAAGTTTTAACCCATGTTTTCTCTTTGTGTTGCACTCAGGATATGAGGCAATGCTGAAATCTCTGAAATAGGAGGTGTTGACGTGATTGCCGGGATACGGGATTGCCGCGAATGGAATGATCCGCTGCCGCGGCGATAGTCTGAACCATGACAGACGTGGAAAAGGACGTCGGAGATGCCAACAACAACAACAAACACGAGAAAATCGTGGAGAAAGCTCTGTCCAGTGGCAGTGACAGCTCCAGCCCTACAGTCCTATCCACGATGTGCTACAGACTTGAACACAATGACTTGCCATGTGACTGTAAAGAGAACTTTGAGATGATGTCTCAGACACAGCTGCTGCTATTGGCTGAGGAGGAACAGAAGAGTGAAGACGCTGCCGTGTTACAGGCATGGACAGGGAGTGCCGTCACCAGTCCCATCACTAAAAAGTAGGTCTAGACGCTCCACGATTGTATCTGTCTTTAACCATTTTACTGGGAACAAATTGATCTTTTTGTCTAGACCCATCAATTTGTTGTATCTTTCTGTCAGTGTGCCAGACATTCTCTCTCAATAATTCAACCCACATAGAGGAATGGCATTAATGAAGATTTTAATCAATGATTGTTAGGTTTAACTTCACAGAAGGAAAACATATTGATTTGCTCTGTTTCTCCTCCAATTCCAAACAAATAAGGTCAATGACCTGGACCAGATGGCTCTCACCATAGTAACTGGTGCTGTAGCAGACATCCTGTGGTGTTGAATTACATTATGTAACAAGTGGCAGGACAGAGTTGGAGGGGCTGGTCATCATATTTATGAATGTGTTTGAGTCAGAATAAGCAGAGCAGTATTTGTGATATGTTAAAAATATGCATTTTGCTTTCCAAATGTCACCTTTCTATCTCCCCTCTTCCAGTAGCCATAAAGAAGATAGAATACTGCAGGTAGACCGAGACAGAGACCTGTGTATGTCAGAAGTCTTCAAGTACCTGTACCTAGGGAGGGATGAGGGAAAGCATAACAAGGTGAGGATGCATTCTTACTTCATAATCATGCCTTCACATGTAATGATGTATCATTCGTATGTATTATTATTCCAATATTACAGGAGATTTCCTCAGTTAAAATTGTGCAATAGTAAGAAATACTGTAAATTGCTTTATGTTTGCTGTAGCAAAGTTTGCGGTCTGACAAAAATTAACATTTTAGTGGAACTGTATAAAAGTGTACGTTCGCGGTGGCGGCAGGTACAGGAAAGGAAAGTCTGCGAATCATCTATTATATGTTATTTGCTACAGTGAATGTTAGTGCCTATGAAGTATATTAAAAGAAATAATGACAATGGTTCATGAACAGTTTTTAGTATGATCCATTCCTAAATTCTGTTTAAAGTTAAAACTTTTGATCCAACACAAAAAAAGTTCTCTGAGAGCTTTCGACCAGTCACCCTGGTCTTCCTCAGTAGACTGACCCAGTGAGGCTTGTCACGTGGCTTCTTTGAAATTCTGAGTGGTGCGGGATTTGTCGGGTGCAGGAAAATTATACCAGTGCAGGTATGCGGAAGAAAGTACAGTTTTTCGAGCCCTGTCTCTGCTTTTTTCCCCCACCACAGAACATTCCAGGCTGGGACATGTGCAAGGCCTCCCACAAGGAGGGCATCCACTTCTACCAGACCTATCCCAAACCCACGGGGAAGCCGTCACGGTGCAGCAGCGCCCCCTACTCCAGAAGTAACGAGGACAATGGCAGCAATAAGAGGACTCCACGCAGTGCAGGGACACGAGACAGGTATTTATGTCGTAGCTGGGCTGCGATAACGGTCAATATGGGTTTTGCCGGCCTGTGTGATAACTCTCCATATCACACAGGGTTCTAATGTTTATCATGTGGGCTTCCAAAGGTTCCATCAAATAATTCGTTTGGTGTAACAAGTCGTTTGGTGTAACACAGCCAGCTGCTGCTGCGTCACGTGACTGCGAAGCTGATGTGTTATGCCAAAAGGCGGTTATACCAGATATACAAATTCATACAACAATTGCTGTTTGTTGTAGAAGACAAGTTTGAAAACCACGCCACCTGTAAAGGTATTGCTCACACTGTGTATTTAGAAGCTGTAAGCTAGGCCTCTGTAAACTTCAAAAAGATTGCTTTGTATGCAAAAAGAATTATAGCTTGTGCACTGGGCAACCTAGCATATCTAATAAGTTTCGCATAGAAACATTACTTGTGCAGTGTGTGTGTGAGAGTGGGCATTTCGAACCCTGCATGTACATATTAAGAGAGAGAGAATATAGGAACATATGCTGATTGATGTTGAACTTCCTCCTGATATGGTGGTCCATGAAGAATTATGGATGTTGAAAAAGAATCTAGCCTTGTTCCCGCTTGCATACATGTAGGAGAAGAGTGCAGTCTGCTAGTGTGGCTCTGTCGCTACGGTCTGGGACTCCTGTGCAACGTCGTAATTACAAGTAATGACTACAGTATGTTCTTGTGGTGTCCACTGTTGGTTGGGAAGTACTCACATGTCCATGTATGTCAACAGAGGTGGTTAGAAGTAGCAGATTAAGGGAGAAGAACTATGATTGTATAGATTGGTGTAAGATATGTAATGAATAACTGGAATCTACATGTACTAATATAGCAGGTGCAGAATACATGTACATTAAGTCTTGAATATATTAACTGGTGATAAACTTAAATATGAAGCTAGAATATAGAAATACAGAAATATAAACTATTGGTGCTGGAAAACGGTGTACATGTATGTCAAAAATGTCTCTAATTCTTATTCCTATTTGTACTTACATGATAGGAGAATTAATGTGATATTTTACACTAACACACAGGTAGATTTTTTTAAAGACCATTTCATAACATACATGTATGTGGAAACTCACTGAAGGTAATGTGTAACCATGATATAACTGTGTAACCATGGTGTAACCGTGTAACCATGGTGTAGCTGTGTAACCATGGTGTAACTGATGTCCTCTGTCACCTTGTCTTATATTCATGTACAGTCAAACTTGTACAAGTGACCAGCTCTACATACATGTATGGACCACTAGTCTTGGCCCACATGTACATGTATAGCATTACCGTCTATAGTGACCACCTGTCCACATAGACTAGTCTCTATCGGTCCCCTGAGCAGTCTTCTTGAGCAATGTTGACTGTACATTATAGATTGTATCACTTGAAATACAGGTAAAGGTTCATGTATCAATGCCATACTGACTAAACTTTATGGATGACATCCTCTGAAGACCCCCAAACTAGTGGGTGCAGGCAAATAAAAAAAAAATATACTGCTATACCACAGGAATACAACGCTGGTATTGTGAATTTGTGGTAGTACGTAGCGACTTTTAAGACAAGCCTTCACATGCTGGCCTTTTGCAGCATTCATGATTCAGCACTGTACTGAGTTCTTGAGTTCTGTGGAGTTTCGTGGCCTGGGTGCCATCCTCCGTAGTTACCGCCGGCTCCCTATTGTCGCTAGCTACCATGGACTGCGGAGGATGGCACCCGGTGTACATGGTGATTTCTTTATTGAGAACAGGAAAAAATCAATGCTTGCACGGATGTCATTCATAAAATTAAATCAATGTGGCCTAACAGAAAAAAAGTGGCAAAATATTTCAGTTATTAACTGTTTTGTCTTTCCCTGTGTGCACAGTGAGAGAAGACCTCCGTCCAGGGAGGCTTTGGTGCTGGACACAACCTCCCCCATCCCCTACGACTTCAGGTATTACCAGCAGTCTCAGCAGTATGTGGAACAGTACAGGTGGGTTTCAATCAATCAATCAATAGCCTTTATTTATACTGGAAATGCCCTGTTGGCCTTAGCCGCTCTTCCCAGAGGTCCAGTTGAATTTCAAATACTTGAAGATATTTTCCCTGCACTTCCAGACATGGATAGTTACCAGTATGGCAAATAACAAAGGATAAACTGCCTGCAGTATCCAAAATGGCCAAAAGGGGGCATTGTTGTATCATACATAATAGTGATTGAAGAGCCCCATAGTGACAGAGAAAAGTACTGCATAGGCCAGAGATACATGTAACTCCATGTAAATTCATGTGAAGACATAGAGGATGGAGTGAAGAATGCTAACCAACTGATGCTTACATTTTAAGGATTTTCATCCAGAAAATAAAATAGCTATCATAATAATATGATTTTCAATGACCATACATGTAATCTTGAAAGTTCGTCTGTGTTGGTAGATATCATTATATAGGAGGTTCAAACTGTAATTTCCGACACAAAATTGGACTGTTCGGTTACTTTTTTCTAACACAAAAATTGGAGTTGTTCGCTTGAAAATTTGGGTTTCACAGTTTAAACCTCCTACATAATGACCATCCATGTAGTTTCAGACTTTTCAATGTCTTTGTATATGTCGTTCCAACAGAGAGGATTATACCTACACGAGATTGAGACATGCAGTTGCAGTCAGATCTGCTAGAGGGCAGCGAGGCGGCAGCCTGGCCAGACCCCTGGCCTGGTACACCCCCAACAGGACCTACGCCTTCAACCTGGACCAAGATGCAGTCAAACTGGGCAACAACATCAGCAGGCCAACACCTACCAGCAACTTGGCAGAGAAGAAAAACAACAATTTGGTGAGACCCTTTGAAAAATATCTTAATGAGAAGTTTATTGCAAATTCATGCCCGGAGGCTAATTGCAAATTACAAACACAAAAGAACATTGAAACAGAGTATAAAATAACTAAAGTCTACATGACGAAAGGTAGCTGTCTAGAACTATAACTATGTCTAAAACTATGTCTGAAGGGTTTGTCTTCTCTTTAAACCATGGAAGACGTAATGTCCCACCTTTTCCAAAATTTGTGGGTTTGGGGAAGTTAAAAGAAGAATAGTTAATAACTCCCAATGCAACCATTATGGTTACTATGTCAGGGCTTGAAATTCATTTTTGGGAATAGGTGCACTGGTGCACCCAACCTAAAAAATTAAGTGCACAAAATATTTTTGGGGTGCACCATATAAAACAAAACCTAATTACAGGTCTTACTGCTCCTCTTCTGAGCTTGAATCTGAAATGGGAGGTAACTTCAAAATCTTACACAAGAACTACAACAAAGATTTTATTATTTTTCTTACACTTAGAGGCCAAGAATATCCTGCATACTATTATTTAATATTATTTTATAACAATTAACAGTGAATCACAGAAAAAGGGTATACATACCCCCATACAATGCAAATATGGGGTCATGTGTTTGTCTCAGAACCAAGAGGTCCTGGGTTTGAACCCTGCCATGCCACCGTTCTTAACCCTTGGGAAAGGCACTTTAACACGGCTTTCCTTACTGAACTTCAGTGAAACTGAGTATTGTATTGTCCTCTGTGTTGGTGTTGGCATTAAAATAAGTTGGGAAAACTTGAGTTTTGGAATAAAAAAACTATGGTGATGGCATGAGTTTACATAAATGCATGTGTTGTTCTATTTTGTTGGTGAAGGACTCTGATGAAGAGACGTCATCATTCTACCATCAGTACAGACTGAATCAGAACTTTACCTCCAGACAGCTCCCCGAACTGGACACAAACACCAACAGTCACTCAAACACAGCAAGAGGAACCAGTCATGTTTCCTTAATACTGGTAATCTGCTGCACTAGAAAGGCCTAACTGATTTCTTTATTCCAGTGTTCACAAAAAAACATTCTCGTCAAAATCAAATTTCTTCTGTCGATGAAGCTTAGAGTTAGACATCCCAGTATCCAATGAGATAACAAGGATCTTGTTACTCAAGCAACACCTATCCAGTTGCTTGAGTAACAATTTCCTTGTGCAAATTTCTATTGAATCTATGAATAAAATTGTAACAGGTCTACAAAAGTGTTACAATTACAAGATATATCAGTAACAAAGGCTTAAAAATTGTCCCATTCTATCAATTAATTCATGCAAACTTTTTTTGCACTTTAGTATCCAACTGATTCAAGTTAAAGATTAAAGTTTGAATCATTGTTACATGTGAATCACAGTTTATGCTTAAAGTCAGAGATGAGTCAGTCTGGCCTGCTGAAATGGTTTGCAGTGCTCCTCTTTCAGAAAACACTAAGTATATTAATCAATAATCACATCCACTTCCCACAGTATATGCTGCACCCCTTGTCTCATCTTTCTCCTTTCCAACAGAAAAATTTCTCCTCTACACTGACAGACCTTTCTAGTTGCTTTTACAGATTAGCAGAAAAAGTGGAGTTTTTTTGTCTGTCCAGTTTCATGTGTGTGGGTGGTGTGGTGACTGCATTTTAAAGCAATTAACACTAATGATAAAAAAGCCTAAGCTTTTCAAAAGCACCATTGCCTTTTATTGGCAATAGGTAATATGAGTGTGGAAACTTGTTCTTTTTACTTACACAGTTACAGTAGTCTTTTTGCCTATAGGAAAATTCGTATCTACCTGTGATGTCTCTTCTAAGGGTTCTTGATTGAAGGTTTCAACAACTGCTGCTTTTGAATAACTCTCCTCTTCCAGAACTGTTATGCCTGTAGTAGTAGAACTGTTCTTTAGGCCACACCAGTTTAATTTTTTAGGAAGAAAAGAACTTTCTTCAACTTTCTTCTTTCAGCATTTTCAAGTTGAGTCAGAACTTTTTTTTTTTCAAATTTGCAAAACTGATGTGGCCTTACCTTAGTACAAATTTCTTGAATACTCTGGACAAGTAGGATCTAGGGATTTTCTTCTTACACAACTGGTAATGTTTCTCACCTGCTTACGTTTTGATGTCTATTAGACACCTTCCTCAGAGCTTCTGACTGGAGTACTGTATCTTGACGCTATATGTAGCCGATGTAGTTGGCACTTTTGCGGCGAGAACACAATCACAGATATCCCCCGTCATCCCGGTTCATCGCTGGAGTTGACTTGAGATTTTGTTCTCGACGCAAAAGTGCCAAGAAAATCCCTATATCCTATGTCCTACCAACCTGATGAAATTATTTTCGGACTCTGAAGAAGTGTCTTAAAATGAAGTGCCAATGGTAACCATTGTGTCCGCAGAGTCGTAGCCAGGAAGCTCTACCAGCCGGTTCAGACACGTACAGACTGGCCCAGTCCAGCCGGCCCAGAAGCCGCAGTAAGAGTCCCCACCCCAGGAAGAAGCGAGAGGCCCGCAGCATGATGAAACAGACCCTGGGCGCAGGGTACTACCCGGCTCAGGTAGTTAACAACTTTTAACAACATAGTTGTAAAGTTCAAGCTTTGTTCCAACACAAGAAAGGAACTCGTCAACCTTTTTCAGATGAGTGATGTACTTGCTGAATCTCTGCAAGTCGGAAGCGCGATGACGTCAGGAGTGCATCAAATGTGCAAATTTGAACAACTTTTAATTGATGTTATGACAGTTATTGGTACATAGGTAGCACTTTGTAAATTATCCTTGAATGCAATTGTTTTGTAAAATTTTTATTGTTGAATAAATAGTATATTTTACTGTCGCTTACTAAATGATGGCAACTATTAATGCATACGGGGTAATCATTTTACAGACTGATACTCTTGTAAATAGCCTCGCAATTCAGCCTTCTAAAATGGCTGCCAGGAGGCATGTACTCGTGTGTCTTTTTGCTGACCTGAAGTATTAAACCAATCTACTACTACTACTACTACTACTACTACTACTACTACTACATTTGTACTACTACTACTACATGTAACTCCAACTATTACTACTACTACTACAGTAACAACAACTACTACTACTACTACTACTACTACTACTACAACTACATGTACTACTACTTTTACTACTACTACTTACTACAACTACTACTTACTACTCTTATTACTACACAGATGAAGTGTCTGCCCGACCGTACCTCCCCGTCAATCCCCAGCCGTCGACAACAGGAGAGGATGAACAACAACCGCCCGCATCAACATCAGCAGCTGTCAGATACCAAACTCTCAGGTAAGGAAGTCACTTCATGTGTTCAAGACGCAGCATTGGGTGGGTTAGTGAGCTTTCGACTATGAAACGGTGAGACCCAGGTTTGATCCCGAGTTGTAATTGGATTAACTGGCAGCAGAAATCAAGAAGTGGAAGATAGATTTGCAAGATTTGACGTTCCGTAACATAAGAAGAGTGTAGTTATGGTCCAAACGTCTTTGTTCATTGAATAATATTTATCACATTTGACTATTTTCAGGAACTGTTCCATTTCAGACTTACTGATGTCATATGGTCTTTAATCATGTCTATAGACTATAACAGTGCATTCTGCACTATGATTTATAGGTGCTTTAAAATTATTGAATTATAATGGATCACCTGAAACTGAAAAGAAATCCAACAGGGTGACCAATGATCTGTGAGTGCCATCAGGTTATAACTCACCTCCTTGGTCATATTCCCTCAGACGCTGACTCCAAGATGAGTCCTGTCCTGATCAGAGGAATCCGTCCACCCACCATGACCGCCCGCGTGTCCACTCCCGTCCAAGGCAAGGCCAACAGCTAAGAACTACAACAACCCTCCAGCAGGACTGGTGCCGTGGCTTCTCCAACCATGTTTGTTGCTTGCCACTGATGTGTTAGAAAATATACTCCATAATGCACAAGAAGCCATTTTATATTGCAGAGACAAGCCACGGAGGCATTTGTTGCTTTTGCTGACCTGTTCAAAAGAAGTACAGTTAAACTTGTCCAAGACGACCACCCATAGGAGGCAAAGTGGTCTGCTTAGACAATTGGTCATCTTATACAAAAAGCATTGTGGCAAGACAGAGAACAAGAAAGAAAACTGTAGCAAAACTTCCACCCATTTTACAATGGATGGCCCCAATGACCCAAAGTGACCCAGCCGGCACCATTTCGCAAAGACTGTTATGCTGTCAAAATCAATGGCAAACTGTCCGATTCCTTAACGATTTCTCGCTAGTTATCATCAAAAAACGTTTTCCGACACACGCTTCAAAATGACACGGTCGTCATAGGCAGATATTGGCCCATGTGTGGGCCCAAATAATATAGTGCCGGTTGGACAATGCTTACGTCTATGGGAAAAAATATTAGGACTGAGATATAGCGGTCATTAAGGCCAGATGGCCAGCTTACAGAAGTGGTCACTTGGGCAAGTTTGACTGTGCAACCAAACTAAACATCCCTTTCTCTCATTCGAAGACAAATAATTTATTGATATAGGTATGAAACATCGGTGAACCAAATTCTTCTCAACAGTTTTCACGGAGCACAAGTTAGAGTTTAGTTGTCCAATTCTCTCTTCTCAGGATAGTCTTCTCCCATTGGAAGATACATCGAGATATATATATATAGCCAGATTTTGTTTTCAGTGTTTTCAACAGAGCCTATGTTTCTAACTATTTTGTACATTTTTGTTAGTTACCGGTATCTTATTTTGCACCCTCCCACACACATTTTCAGTACATGTATATAAAGCTAAGGTGCTCATTTGTTTAACTCATTTCTATTTTTCTAAAAACCCCTGATGGAATACGTTAGTCACAGATATCTTTTTTTCTTCTTTATTTTTGCAGGCTGTTTTTTTTTTCTATTATGTTAAATGATCCATGCACCTAACACCTGTTCATGTCCTCAGACCTTGTACGCAAAAATCAGAAATTGGATATTTTTTTCTTCTTTTTCTTTTCCAGTCAAATCTAGAAATTAGACATGTGATTCTTGCATTTTCAGGCCCATTCATTGTACAGAAAACATTTGTGTCTAAATCTGCATCTCCAAATTCACAACAGGCTACCTTGTACCAATAATAATATACCAAAGCTGTTCCCTACAATTACTTGTTGATACAAATGAGATACTGTAGATAAATGTCGCTCCTCTTCAGACTTGGGCCATTGCCAAGTGTTTGTGGTGATCCAATCAGTGAGTCATGCCACTGCTGGCTGCCATTGCAAATGAGGTGTGATGTATAACTTCATTACTGGCTGGTCCTACATCCTGTGTAGACTTCCTGCACCCGTCAGTGAGAACCCTGAGGGGGTAGTTGGCCAGGGGGAAAAATACTTTGATGTCAGGACTTGACATCTTAGCCTGGTAGCCAGCGACATTAGAGAGCAGGCAAAAACTACGGAGAATGGCACCGGAGAAAGGCTATTGACTTCTCACATTTGAGTAAAGGAAAAAAATTCAGTACAGCCGTCTTTTTTGAGGGCTTCTCAGACATTTTCCTCAAACAGTTTGGCGTACGATTTTCTGAAGCTTTGTCTTATTTTCCCTCTTGTCAGGAATGTCTGGACCATTGTTCATAAAGTACTAGACTATATAGTGCAGGTGGGACTAATTCAATACCTTGTTGAAGCGCCCCCTATGGGTCCACGACTGTATTGCACCGACAGGTGCAGGACTTAGGCATAAAACCACAATCAGCATAGTCTAGACAAAAGGCAGACAGAACTGTGCACCAAAATCCCAAATCTCATTTCAAAACATCTTATCTTACTGTTTCTGTGCTTTCAATCAATATATTCTGGAAGGGACAGCTTGTAGATTGTAAATTTATAGTTAGACATGTAAACAACAGGGTATCATCACTGTAGCTGCATTGACCATTGAAAAGTTATTGATTCACAACCACTTGTTTTACAAGAGCTGGCATTTCGATGGCTGTCTGTCGTCTTCATCAGGGCAATTATGACTGGTTCACCGTGCACTGAAGCTTGGTGTGCATTACTGCTAACAATGTGGTCTCAAACATTGACTTCTAGCTTCAGTGCACAGTAAACCAGTCCTAATTTTCTTGATGAAGATGACAGACGGTCATCGAACCGTCAGCTCTTGTAAAAAAGAAAGGCAGTGAATAAAGAATTTTGCTATTCGGTCATTTGCCAACCTGATGAAATTATTCACAGTGATGACCATTGCATCAACACCTCACCACTTTACAGGGTGACGTCACCCCCCTCCCCTCCACTCCAATGCTATTCCATTGGGGAGTCCTAAAAACCTGCAGTAGCTGCTTGATAAAATGTACATAGAAGCAACTCCATCTTTTTACAGAAAGAACATAAACCTTACATTGCTCAGAGAAAAGGGACAAGCCTTAATAATCTACTTCTAACCAGCTACAATGTAGCTACAAGCGTGAGAGAGAGAGAGCAGTTTTGTCTAACATTCCCTGGTTGTGTCATTTACTGTTTTCAGGGCACTAGTTAGAAACAAAAACTCAACGTAGCATTGGATTTCTTTTGGAAAGCTACCACAACAGCTGCCCAAATTGTAACCACAGCACTAGAAGTAATGTAACCTTCAGTGTGACCATTAGAGGGTCGTAAAAGCAGATATAAAACATGTAATTTTAATGAAACAATGGGAGGTCACGAAAGCGTGATTATAGCCATTGTGCTGACGAACACAGTACTCAAAAGTTTTCCAATAGCTAGTACAATGTAACAAATCTTAACAGTTTTATACCTGGCAAGTTTTTCAGTGTTTCATTGGGTTCATATTTGAAATTAGTTGCCTTTAATGCAGTATAGATAGATACATGCGATTTAGATACTAGGTACATATAACTGCCATTGCCAAAAGGCATTATTATTCCTTTCCCTTGTGAACACTTGATGCTACCCAGGCCTTCTGTGCATTTTCTATCTATAGGATAACAACTTTAGATAGTGGATACATCGAATTCTATATCCCAACCAAAAAGCCATGCTGCTGTCCAGATGCTTGCTTGTTACATTGTAATGTTCATCTCTAGTAATGAAGAATGACTGTTTTAATCACAGTATGGAGTTTTACTGAGCCAACAGGGTGCCAGATAGATGCGTTTCCTAACTCAGGGCTTGCACGCCTGCTCTATATGTATGAGTAATGCCACTTACATCATCCTCACACGCTGTGGGCACTGTACCTTTTCATAGCTCAACTTTTACGAGATAGTTTTTACGAGGTACCACACGCGCGATTGTTCGCGGGAGTTTTATACCCCTGCGAATTGTCAGGGCTCGGCTGATTGGCTACGATGAATCGTGCCAGAGGCGGCTTAGCATTACGCTTTAATGAAGACCTTTATTGTACAAACATACCCACTGGGTTAGGTACAAAGGTTAACTTGAATACACAAATATATACACAACAAGATCAATCTAGTACTAGCACTACAGTCTGTTACATAATTTCGACTTCTCTTCGCTTCTCTGTGATGTTGAAAAGATAAGAACATACAAGTTTAAGGATCGAGGGTTTGTCTAAGTTCATTAAAAATGTGAAATTGTCTGTATTACTTAGGTGTGTAAAGTGGGGAAACATTGATGTTATTCGTCTATAAAGTTCAATTCTCGCACTGTTATACAAACTACATTCTACTACAAAATGATGTTCATCTTCTATTCTATCTAGATTACAGTATCGACAAATACGTTGTTCCAGGGGAGTGCGGTTATGTCGACCGGTCTCAATGTGCAGTTTATGGCAGCTGATCCGTAGTTTTGTGACGGCGTTTTTGTGCCGTGTGTTGTCGATATTTAGGTACTGTTCTTCATTGTAGGCCAATTTGAACAGTCTATAGGTCCTAAGTTTGTTTTTAGCAGGACCACCTCTGGTGTCATTGTGTATTTCTTTAAAGAAGGTTTGGATGTAAATGTCTTTTAGTCGCTGATGGATGGAGTTAATAATTTGAGACGCATTTGTGTTGTATGAGAGAGGACAGTGCCAAATGTAACCATAACCACACTCTTCCAGGGACTTGCGCACTCCTGATGCCCAACATTTGGCTCCAGCTTTGTCTAACTCTAGCTGACAAGATAGAGCGTCAGCTTGAAAACTATGACCGTCGCGGATGTCATTACCTTTTCACGAACAAATGTCGTAAAATTTGGGCTGTACAGAAGCTTAAAGATGCTGAGAAACACTGTAACCTGCTGTGTTAGAACTTGTTGTACACTACAGAATGGAAACTAGATGACTCAACTTTTTGTACTGTTAGTGTACTCTTATTTTGCACGTACGTGTATATGTGAGGTGCAGCATAATGTGATTACCTTGTCAATCTTGCCATCATAAAACCCACCATCATCACACCAAGGGCAATCAACATGTAGATGGGCTCCGTGCCCTTCAAAACAATTACGGCTGACAGCAAATGAACTTTTGTTCTGCTTGGAGATGGAGCAAAAATTTGATTTAGCCAGGCCATAAATTAATTCCTCCTTTATAGGGTATCAGACAGTAATTGCTAGTGGAATGCAACAGAATGGTCTACTGGTATTTCGGAATCTGCTTAGTACCTCTGTGCCTTGGATTAATTGAATTGTATTTCTCCAACTTTGGATGGGCTTGTATTGTTTATTATGTGGAAGCTTGAATGAAATTATTGTTGCATATTATAGAAGATATCGGTAAGCTATTATGTGATGATACCACAGAGTGCAATTTCAATTTAGAGTGCAATTCTGTGAAGGGTTGCACTTGGGTTGTTACGGCTCTTTGGGGAGCGGCAGTTCTTGTAGGCTGCTGCTGAGGTAAATGGAGCCAAAATGCCACCGCATATTATATCGTCTGGCTCATTCTGAAGACAAATATCAATAAATAATGGATGAAGAAGAGACTTTTATGGGCATCTGTGTGTGTTTTTTTGTGTGAATTGGTTTTTCAGGGTGAGTGCAAAGAGAAAATAAATCGCATAAAAGTAAATAGGGAGGAGGCATACAAACCGCTGTAAACGATGTACAGCCGAATTTGCAGTTTTAAGACGATTGACTCTTGACAACCCATCATATCTGCATAAGTTTGCTATTGTCTTTCTTAGTTGTTACTCGGCATGTTTATAAACTATACTGTACAGCACTAGTTAATAATCCATCGGCTGATTCATAGACTACTAGTATGTAGATTGCGTCTTTTACTGAGGAGTGACTTTAAAAAGTGAAAATCATACCGTCAAAAACAAAGCAATCCTGAAAATAGACTGTCAAAAAGAGAAAAAATATGTTTAGATCAAGATACTAGTACCCCTGATGAACCCATGATAGCTAGATACCGGTAGTCAGGAAAAGCGGGCGCAGGCTGGCCCGTACGTAGCGTCAAGAGCAAGAACAGTTATTATAAGGAACAAAAGCTAAATCCTTGCTGGCTCTACCAGCCTTCCTAAATTCATAAACTGATGGAAGGAGTAGAAATTGGCCAAAAAGAGAGGCAAACCGTACTTTTTATGCGGATCAACTCCCCTGGCTTATCATCAAGTCTATTTAACAAATTTCTCTTTTTTCCAGCCGCTTCCGAAGCCTGGTAAAGTCTAGCCTCCAACAGGCTTCAGAGCGACGGAAAATTGTTATCCTTAGCGGACATACAACCCCCCTAGCCATGGTTACTTTAGTGGTATGTCAGATTATCTGTTTATTCAGTGGCCAATTTCTACTCTTTCTAGCCGCTTCTGAAACCTGGGAAAGGCCCTAAAACTCGCGCTAACGAGACTTCATACACGCATGCCTAAACCACACTGATAAACATTCGGCTAGCGTGTTGCACGTTGGCGGCAGGTGGTTCGAAGTTCGTCCCGCCCGGCTTCAACATGGTAAAGAAAAAGCCGCCATGCCCACGAGGCCTGGATGCAACCATGATGCAACATGTCCTAAACTAGAATTCTCACACATTCGTAGCATACATAGTTGTAAACATATATTTTCGCTTGTTCCTTTATTCACAGGGCATAGCAGGTGTCCGCCTACCATAATACCCGTTTGGCTGTCGTAAAAAATTATACCAGTACAAAAAAAAAGAAAGCCTGATAAATAAAAACGCATAAACACGTCAAAAATAAGCCGAAGCTTGAACCTCTGCTTGGAGAGTATGCAGATCCCAAATTACTAGTACTAGTACTAGTATGTGATTGCTAGTATATCGGCATTGTCATACGTTCCCCAAGCAGATGTTAGGTTGGAAGATCGTAATGTTTTCTGAATGGCGTCCGCAAAGCCACTTGCCCCCATATAAGCAGATGAACAGTTGAATAAAAAGCCAAAGGTGTGAAAGGAAACGAGAAATGTTCACATATAATCCTTAACAGACTCATTTCGAACAAAAAATGATGAAACATGTACATGAATGTAGCGGCGCATAAAACTACTACTGTAGTATCTTTTTTATGTCTACTAGTATCTGAAACGTTGTTCTAGATGTGCCTAAAGATGTTTAGGCCTATCTGGAGAAATTTTTGATGGCTTACATTTTACAAGTCAGGACTACACCCTATCATAGCCTAATCTGCAGTACCGCTTCCAGCCGCCTCCAGAAAAGTGGCTAAGACAACCGCCAAAATCCGTCTTCGGGAAATCGTGAGAGACTCGCAAAGGGGTTTGTATTTTCGAAAAATATTTCTTCAAAGATACGATCATTTAGAATCAAGAATGATAACATTTCAGGCCTTTCACCAAAAAGACAATATAATGATACGATTTTCTTACAATTTACTAACAGAAATGGTCGAGTGAACCTTTTGAAGAGCTACTGTATCCGAAATTCATTCATGTTATATATATTGTTAAAGAAACAATAAGTTGTTCAAATACAACGGCGTTTATGCCTGTTTGTTATCCAGATTTTCTTTCAAAATGCCGCAAAAATGAATGAACTTTATTGCTTGTACACAGTACAATCACAATGTATGGCAACAATGTCAATATGATCAATACAGTAAGTCTGTTTTAAAAAACTATTACTACAGGAATATGAACGTAAATGGCGTATTGACATGATGTACATTAAGCGTAGATTACTTGTCGATGCAATATAGCCTTGGGCGCTAAGGGAGCCATTTGATAAGCTCCGGGCAGAAAGAACAATACTTAATTATGTTAGTTTGTCTCACCACCTTCTGAAACAAAAACCTTCCTACTGACGAAAGAACAATGATGACTAATATATACTAGTAGTAATTATTACACCATGTACCTCATGTACATCGTGATTTTTTTTTAGCGCGTTCGCCTGTTTTGGGGGTTTCCGTGAGGGAATACCACCCATCAACAATACAGATCTAGTCATCGAGAGCCTTTGGCGATTTCCCGATTCCAGAAAAGACAGAAAGTTGGTGTTTTGTACTCTCCAAGCAGAGGTTTGGATTTTGGGATATTTTTGGCGTGTTTTTAGGCTTTTTTATCGGGGTTTCTTTCTTTATTTGCACTGGAATTTTTTTTTCACCCAACCCAAAAATCCAGTGCAAAAAAGAAAACCCAATAAAAAGCCTAAGAACACGCCAAAAATAACCCAAAAACGCAAACCCCTGCTTGGAGAGTACATTGTAGTGTTTTGAATGTCGCTAGCTTCAGCCACTTTTATCCGGAGGCGGTACTGCAAATTAAGCTATGATAGGGTTATATCGTCCCGGCTTGTAGAATTTAAAAATTTGCAAGACAATGTGGTATTATGCTTAATCCTGTGAACACTCTCTCCAACGTCCAGACACCTTCACGTAATTCTTATCTTAGAATTACTCTTAACAGAAAAGCGTCTTAGCTATCGTTCCAAGGAGCCTACGTGGCGCCTTGGTGTCTCGTCAAAGTGACGCCAACGTTGTACATGCATGGATATATGTGGACGTCGTCTGCCTTCCGTTACTTAACATCTATTCATCTACCTATACATGTATATGAGGCAAGAGTCTATCAGAGAAACCTGCATATCACTCAGAATACAATGTAGATGAGGTAGGTTGTCTTCTGTTATGTTTCAGGAGATGTAGCAAACCAACGTTACCGTAATGTTTGTTTTTTCGTCGGAGTTACTAGTAACTTCGTTATGTTGGCCACTGTAAATTTCAGCCTCCACCTACAACATGTACTAGTACCTCAGCTTGAGGGTTTATCAATCAATAGTTAAGACCAATAATATTGTTCAGACTTTTCTTTCCCTAGTATCACAACTGTCCGCTTCAAAAACATTAATCTGCACTTATGATAATTCAAATTGAACATTTTTCTGTATGATAATTAAAATTGTTGAACATGATTTTTCTTTGTGATAATTCAAACTGTTGAACATGATTTCTCTTTATGATTCAAATTGTTGAACATGCTTTTTCTTTATGATAATTCAAATTGTTGAACGTGTTTTTTCTTTATGATAATTAAAATTGTTGAACATGATTTTTCTTTATATTTCAAATAGTTGAACATGATTTTCCTTTATGAAGTTTATCTATGTTCAGTATCTTGGATTGATGGGTAGTTTTGATTTTGCTACACTGTGAGGAGAGGGACTTAAAAGGATGTATTACCAGTAAAAGGGCTCTGAGTAGAGGTCTAGTGTGTCACATGCTTGTCTAAATCTAAATGATATCAGATATTACTGGCATCTTAGTATTTTTACAATATGATTATGAAGAATCATTTTACCTTCTAGCTGTATATCTCATCATTAAGTGAATGCTTACTTTAAGTAAAAACTGGACACAGTCAAGTCATCACATTCATAAATATAAGGCAATAATTTATTTTAAAAACCTCTGATCATAAAATGCACAATTTGGCAAGACAAAATCTTCCAAGTGGACCCCATGGGCCGCCTCTTCTCAATACAGGCCTTCACTAAACACAACTGCTCTGGTTTGAAGTATTTCTGATAGCAACTGCATTGAGCAGCGCCCTATCTTAAATTCTCAATACATATCAATAGGACTATGAACATAGCTTTTTACAATGGTCAGAATGTTAGCCGTATTGATACATTCGTTCAAACTTAGTTAACTATGGATTTGTTACAGGAAGTAAGATTTGTCCTCTTCCAGAGGTGAAAACAGCAGTTTTGTTTGATAAAGGCCCATTCTTTTTTTACCATACGATAGTCTTTCTTTCTCCGCTACGCATGACGTGTTAGAGCCTTTTCCCTTCTTATGCCTGCCGTGTAACTGTACAAGACATTTCCACAACCCAACATCACAACTGCTTCTTACAGAACGAACTTTCGTATTCACTGAAGATATACAGGACCTCATATAATTATCATAATAAAAACTTGCCTTTAGTCGTGTACGCTTCTGTCAGCTATGGGAGGAATAACGCATCCCTGGGATGGTAAAATTCCTCTGTGATACTTTACAAACAAGAACTATAGGCTACACACTACCAGTGCCAATTCTATCAGTTTTGCTGACAACATGATATAAATGTACTTATAAATATTAACAATGGGCACTTTATGAACAATGGGGGTTAAGATACGGTTGGGAGGGTAACATCATACAAAACTGACATTCGTCACTCCTGGCCTTGTTTAAAGAGTTCCCCATCCCTTAATAGATACAAAACTCACGCCAACTCATTACAAAGTACACATTCATTTTTCTTCTGTACAAAAGGGCTACCTACATGGTAAGTAGACTCTAGATTCTATAAATACAATGTTCAGATATAAGCACAGCACCAACTGTGAATGAGACATACTGATACGGAGATTATCATGATTCGGACTGTCGGCCCAGCGTCTAAAGCATAGCAGTCAGCTAATGCAGTGAGGTGTATATTATTATGTTTTTAATGTATATTTTCCACATCTGGCTAAAATGTCATGTTAGAAAGACTCAACTGAGTTTCCGTGTCATGTTTTCTTCTTTTGTTAGTTGTTTGCGACTTGGGAATGTCATATATAATTTTCTATTATGTATATTTTACATACATGTACCTAATGGTATGCCATAGTTATGAGGTAGCTTAATTGATATGGAATGGCCAGTTCACAGCAGTTACAGTATGGTACTGTTCTGTAGGGAAAATCTCTTTTCAGTTTGATTCAAGAGTAAGAAAAAGCCATCCCAGCAATAAGCCTTGTATTTGACTTTCTTTTCCATAGAAAATGGACTACAAATTGTACAGAAGCCACAAAAAGGCCATTGGACGAAAAAATACAGAATCTGCAAGGCATCTCCTTTGAAACAGTGACTGACAAAAGTGCATACTGGATCGACAATGTTTCTCAAAGACTATTTGCAGTTACTGATACCACATAGAATTGAAGAGTACTGTTTGTACAAGTGACATGGCTCACTGTGCAAGCATCTCAACCAAACCCTTCCTACTGTAGCTCAGAGCTAGTATCAGCTTTCTTAAAATTGAACTGGCTTCTTTGCTGTCAGAAAACCAGAAAGAGAAGAATTCCTTCTACTTGTCTTAAACCTTCCAGGTAGGTCGAGATGCTGGACACAGCAAAGCTCTGTGGATATCTACACTACTGCTGAGGCACGTGTCGTCTCACACTGTTGTTAACGTTACCAGTGGGCCCAGTGTCTTGGACCCGTCGGTAACTCTCTGGGCCAACAGTTCCTGAACTGTCATGAAGTTATCCATTATCTTTCCCTTCCCCTTCTTCGACATTTTCTTCTGGCTCATCTCTAAGATGGGATTCTCATTGTTTGACTCCTTAAGAATGTCCAGTCTTGCCCTCTCCATGAACTCTCGCCGCCGCTTCTGATCCTTTGCCCGCTGCAAATGCTCGCGTCGCTCCTCCCTCGTCCAGTAACGTCCCAGCTTCATCTCGCTTATCGCCTCGTCGTCTGTCGTCAGTCCCATTCTCTCTTCCTGAATCTTCATTGCACGTTCTTTCAGTAACCTGTCCCGGACCGGTCTGCGCGTGATGTAGCGCGAACCGTCGCTGCGAATCTTCACCTTCCACTCGAAGTTCCCGTCGTCCTCCGGCTTCTCTTCCTCACGAACTTGTTGTTCCCTTGGCTGCTCCTTCTCCACTTCCTTCTGCCGTACCTTTCGGTACATCTCTCTCTCCTGGGCCTTCAGCAGGTGCATGTAGCTCCGGTAGTGCTGGGCATGTACCGGAATGCTCATCTGCGACGTACACATACTGCTCATGGTGCGTATGCTCTGCTGGGAGGCATACAGGCTCGGTCTGTTGCGTGGTTGGAAGTACACACTGTCTCTCTCCACAAACCGTGGCCTCGGCTGAAAGTACACACTTTCCTCCTGCTGCCGATCCCTTCTCGGTGGCTTTTCCCTACGCAGGCTCTTCTGATTTTCCCTCGTGTCCTTGTGCTTCTTTTCTACTTTGCCCTCCTTTTCTCTACTGGTGCTACGAGAGCGCAAGTCCTTGACGGAGTCTGGCTTGCCCAGTTTTCTGACAGGGCTCTGGCTTGGTCTACTGTCCTTTGATGTTTCAGTGACTGTCACTGATGCCGTGGGCTGCGTCGACACCACAGTCACCACGTTTTCTGACGAAGTGTCAGATCGTTTGCAGCTATCGACACTGAACTCCAAGGTTAAAGGAGTGCTGCGACAGCTCTCGCCCGTGTTGTACGCACTCGACGAGTTGTCGCTCTGTTTGTCCTTTTCAATCTCGGTCATTTCTGGCTGCACAATGTCTGGCTTGGGCCCTACACTATGAGGTCCGGGGTGCCTCAAGCCGTGTCCCAGGTTTTCGTAAGAGCTCAGGACATCGGGCGTGTTTCTCTGGTGGTAGTACATGATGTTTTCGTACAGGTTATCGTAGGGCGTCATGTCCCTCGGGTAGACGTGCGGCATGGTGTGGAAGCTCATCCCCTCCATCCGTCTGTTCAGCACCTCCAGCTCGCGCTCGCTGACGTCCGACAGGGTGCCCGTGTCCCGGGTGCCGTACGACTCATTGCACTTCCTCTCCAGCTCCTTCTGAAACCGCGCACACTGCTCGGCGGAAATCTCCTGCCCGAATTCCTGCTCGTTGGACGTGAAGCTGGAGTTGCTGTTGCGGAGCTCGCCGCTGCCCAGTCGGTGGGAGCTCTGGTCCTCCCCGAGGTCCTGCTCCGAGCTCTCATCGTTCTTGGTGCTCTCGTCCGTGCGGCCGACCCCGCTGTCTTTCTCGTGCTGGTTGGAGGTGCTGGTGGCTGAGTCTGTCGTGCCCTCCTCCTCCTTACTGTGTCTGCACTCCTGTAAAGCAAATCAGAACAAAACATTAGGTTGATAAATCTAAACACACACGTATTAACACAACCTGTTTTATTGTAGGGTACTATTGTTTGGCGTAATCTTTCCCATTGTATATGTAACGTGAGGTGGTGTTGGAACACGTCATGATTGTAAAATTAGTGCTGACACAAGGCCAACTACTAAACAGGATTGGAGCACAAAGATCTGAACATAAGAAGGCTTGAAAAGGGCAGAGCGGAAAACGATACGGCCGACAGCAGGCTTGAAAAGGGCAAAGCGAAAAATGACAGATGGCTGATCAACAGGCCTGAACCCAAGATAATAGCAGTGTGAATCACTGCATTACTCAGTCCATCAGGTGATATGCTTCTAGACTTTCACACCTCTGATCACATTAGCATGTTAATGAGTCGTGTGTGAGACAAACCCATTAACTCATTACTGCTAAATTTGGGCGGCCACTCGACGAACAACTTGATGGCCATCCCGTTACCTCTTCTTTCTCTTCCCCCTCGTTTAGTTCTAGTGTTTCCGATTGATGGGGAGGAGGGCTAATTAACATGCTAATTACCCTGACTAAAGCGCAATCAAGAATAATACGATCCCACAGCAGTGATGAAGTCACCCTACTAATCCTGATGGAGTACCCAGGATTTGCTCCTCCACCAAAGGGATTATATTTCATAGGGTTGAATTTATACAGAGATTTGTATCTATACACAGGGTTCCACTATCAGCTCATACTCATTGGGAAAGGATTTGTGCCACCGGGTTGATCTTTTTTCTAGAGATATTAGAGTTTAGAAAGACAAATTGGTCAGAAGAAAAAAGTAAGCTCTCTTCATTAGAAAGGGATTAGCAGACCAGTTATCGTGCAGCTTTGTTATGAAACATCCCTGCCTAAAGGGGAAAAAGGCTGGCAAATTTATGGGGCTACAAAAAGATATCATCTTTCAACAAATGGTGACTTTTGGGGGGTAACACTAACAGAGAAGAAACTTTAGCAGGAGATCTAAAAATATGACAAACCATGGTTTCATCCCTGCTGTATATAGATGGCATTTTATTGTGATTTGGTATTCATGCTTCATTTTTCCATGCCACTGTCTTTTCCATTATATATCACTGTGATGTTGTTGTACGTTGTAAGTACCATTTGATGATGATGATGATGATTTGGACACTGAGCAACATGTTAAAGGCATCCGATTGGCGACAAAACTGGATTTTTAAAGTCTATTTTCCAGTCATTCTTTTAATGTAGCAAGGGAATCAGTCCTATCCAATAGCATACTGATATCTGAGGCCAAAATGCAATATCGCTGACAGAAAATGATTGCTTGTTTTGTATCGTGGGCTAGATCTAGCGGTCCCCAAAAAAGAAAGAGAGGCCTCAAGTAGTTTGTTTTGGGGCTAACGGGGTATTTCAAATGCTTCGAAAAAGTGCTAAGAAATGCCGGTGACAGATTTCCTTGTCTAGAATGTTTTTTTTTCATTTTGCCGCCCTGAAATTGCATTGGATGCCTTTAAGTCTGTTAATTTCAGTGTGAAGTAATGGAGGGCTGCTTACGTTGTAGTCCAGCATGGCTGCCGTGTACCGCATGGCATCACTGTGGTGCTGCTCCAACATGTGCATGTTCAACTCATCCAGAATCATGTTCCTCTCCTCCTCCAGCCAACTCTCATCAAACTGCATCAACAACACACAAACATCACCTCAACATTAGTATAATTAGGTTTATAGCAAATACGTGCCCGAGGGCTAATTGCAGGTACAAACAACATGTATGAAAAAAGAAAATACAATGATAGAAGAGACTACGTCTATCACAATTTATACTACATTCTACAACATATGTGGTACTAGTTTTCCGGGTTTGACTTCTTCTTTTGAGTCAAGGGAAGATGAATTTACCCTACTAGTATGAACTTGACTTGATTTCTCTATATTTTTCAGTTTAGTCCTTGTTCCATTATCAACCTTCTTTCAGCTGTTTCGCACCTTCATAAGCCTTGAATCTCCAAAAATCCAGCCCTAGTACCAGCCATAAACTGGAATATTTAATTTAATAATATAATATTGCAGGCTGAGAATTGTAGTTGTGTGTAACTTAGTTAACTTGGGGAACCCTTTAGTAATTAATGATTCACTCACACCATAATTTGTCCCCAGACACTATAGAAAAAGCAGTACCATTGCTGCTACAGTTATACAATACAGATTTGCCTGGTCACATCATCTACATAGAAGACTGACAGCGCTTTTGCAACCCAGCGCTCACCCTTTTAGAAAATCTGGACTTTGTCACATATGGCTCACTTGACATTGGGAGAACGGAAGAATGTACAGTTCCTAAACCAGTCATAAATCTGACAAACCAAAAAGAACTAGTCCAAGATGTGGGTTTTGACCTTTGTGTATCATAAATTTAGTTCTATTTGTCCGGGTCATTTTGGGGAGGGAGGGGGGCACAATTATACCAGTTGGAGCGCTACAGTCAAATGCTTTGTTGAAGTTTCTGCTTCTACGAAGTGTGTAGAAGACACTCTTACTAAAGATGTGTGAAGTCTTTCTTCAGTCTTCATTAAGATGCATTGTGCACTAACACACGGGCAAACATATTCCACATACTGCTGATCACAATACCAACTCTATTCCTGGGTCACAATGCTGTATTTTTGTAGTTAACCCAATGCTTCTGCCATGCCTGCACATTTATCAATGGTCGCCTGTTCTTCCTCAAAATGTCAAAGTGACCGAAATGTTGTGTGCCGCAAATGAAGAATGTCTTTGAAGCCCCTGTCTGGAACAGTGGCGCGTTATTTTTCTTGTTGCGAAATTCTCGGAGTTCAGAACTGTGGGTGGGGGGGTCGCCACAGACACTGTGACCCTGGGTCTGAACTGTTCACTAAGGGTCAAGCTCTCGCATTACCACTGATGATCCTCTATTTTGGTCGGTGGGAAAACAAACCCAATCCTACCCTAATTTTTCATAACTTGTCCATAGAGGGGAACGGCCGGGCAGGGGCAGAATATAGCCGTTGTGACAGGTACAACATAGTTCTCACCATCGACACCCCGCAGGGTGTATATTTAGGGCTGCGAAGGTCACCATCAGTAAATACCGCCAATCTGGGGGCTGTCTCATGAAATATTTCTCCCGGCGATCTTTTATTACGACACTTTTGGGAAGTTCCCGTTCCCATCCGCGAGATTTTTTATAACCGTCTCTCACGTGATGGGCTCATAAAACTTTACCACAATCTGTGTCACTGTCAGATGCTGTTATCGGAGCACATCCAACTTTTTTTGTGCTCCCCGCATCTCGTACCAAAGGTTATTTTGACAGAAATGGGGCGTACATGCACGTCGGTGTGTTATGCACATTAGCGGCCACTTACCAGGCTGCTGCAAGCTCAATGTTACCACTGGGGTTTTTAGAGAAATGAGTTTGTTCAGTCCAGTTAGGAGGGGGAAACGCAGCAGTGCAGTACAGATGGTAGAACAGCTCACCTGCTTGCCCTTCTCTATGAATATTTAAACAGAAAGTGTGGGCAAATGGCACCTGAGGGGGCCATAAATTTGCGACAACTACAATATTTTAAAGGACCCTTTCAGTTTTTGTTCCCCGGCTTACACGGTACGTATTAGGCTCACAAACACCCATCAAGTGTATGGGCTGGGCTAAAAGCCCGAAATAATTTACAACACGAAGAATGGCGTGCCAGGACTCGGATTTCATTGTGTTACTAATGGCCATTGTCACCTCCGTGTGTAGCCCTTGTGTACCTCATCTGTTCCCTACGCTTTCCTGACAGTCATATTTATAGCGTCACTTCAAACCCTTTTTGCCACACTTCATTTCTCCCTTTGTATCGATCTAATGAGAATGAAATGGATATGTGTATCTAAATGTAGCCCTTCCAAAATCAGACGCTATCCATAACGCTTTTCCCAACCCTTGGATGAAAAGGAAAAACTAAGTAGATGCAGAGAGAACAACAGATATATCAGAATAAGGGATTTTTTCCCCAATCGTACTATAAACGTGTTTCTATTTCACATACATGTACGCAGCTTACTGGAAGGTTCTTACAACAACTTCCTGATGATAATTTGTTTTGCAAAGATGTTCCGACTCCTATCTTAACCATGAAGGTTACGAAAACACGTGGCTGTTTTAAAGGCTTACGGAACTTACCCGTGTGTCAGGTCTGGCCACCAGGAGCTTAATCTCTGACTTGTCCTCAGAGAAGAGGCGCACGGCATGGTCCTTATTCAGAACTTCCTCCCCGTTAATCTGTGAACGTAAACATGTTATTAGTCATATTCGAACGAAAGCTCAACTGTGTTGGTAGAATCCATAATGATTATAGGGTTTAAAACTTCATTCCAACACAAAAGAGGAACTCAGCCACTTTTGATTTCGACGTCATCACGCTACTGGATTTTGAGACAGTTCAGTGTATCATTCATCTAACAAAAGTCGACAAGTTTGACTGAAAATTCGTGGCGAGTTCCTCTTTTTTTGTTGGAGCGAAACAATTATGCTATCAGCAACTCTTCCATGAAAATGTGAGTCCATTCTCCACTGTAATATAACCTTCATGACCTTTATTTCCCAAAAATGGTATGTCAATTTTCTTTTTTAATTTCAGTATCATACTGTTTAACCTTTGGTTCTTTTTCTATGTCAACCCATTGAGCTTTAGTTTACAATGGCAGCTAACCCTGGGGTTGGGACTTAAAACCATTTAGACCAGGTGGGCTCCCACAGGATGGAGGGGAAAAAAATCAGGACATTACGTCCCAATGTTGGGCCAAGCTCACAGGATTTACCAGCAAATGAGCCAAATTCAAATGGGATCAATTTGACTTGTAAGGGGAGAGTGGGGCTAAAATGCTAGGCCAAGTGGAACAATGGTGTCCAGCTGCTTAATGACTCCCAGTTCACCCTGGTAATGGAGGCTGGGGCTGCCACAACTTGACCTTTTTTTGCCTGATCTACATAATGACAGGTAGGGACATCTGTGCTGTTTGACCACCAGTGTGTCCGGCCCACCTCCCCACCTCTCGTCCCAATAAAAGTCCTTGCGTTTTTAGCCCTTGGCCATTTCCGCACGCATGCACAAATCACGCACACAGAACCGCCACCTGTTTTAACACGCCCTTCTCACGAAACAAACCGCAGATGCCTCCAGGTGTCAGCCTCAGATGAAAAACAAGCCTCATTACCCCTACATCCCCTCTAGGCGAAACGCCTTTTCCTGAACTTTTCCAAACCGATTTCCAAAGCTCAGGCACTGATCTTGCCTTGGGGCCTGGGCGGCGCTGCCCATTTTCCCATTAAGCAGAATTTTTCCAGGGCTGAAGTTTAATCCGACGCAGTAAATCATTCTGGATCCGTTGTGACACGCTGAGTCCTCTTAAAAGCTTTGAATGCGACCCCTCGGACTCAAGCCTCTAATCGTCACAGGCCAATGTCAAAATCTGCCAGACTTTGCCGAGAACATAAAACGCATTATCATATAAATCATATAATCTGATTTGGAAGAGCGTTATCGACGGTTTATACCTGAACAATGTGATCCCCCTCTCTTATTCTGCCGCTCTTCCCCGCAACGCTTTGTGGATCAATCTGCAAAGAAAGGGAAACCAGTTATTATTACCATGCAGTCAACAAGAAAAAAAGGCAAACATCACAATAATTTAGAATTTTCTGCCACCGACCTACCATACTCAAGGCACTACTGTTGATATTGTTCAGACATTTCAAAAAGCAATGAAATTACCAGTGTAAGTGAAAACTATATCAGAACTGACAGACTATTCTTCATATTGAATTACTACCTTCATCGGATGAAAATAAACATCTGTTTAGAATGAAAACCCATCAATAACTCTAAGTAAACATCTATTTACTTGAGAGCTCCACTCCGAAGCCTTAATTCTCTAAAATGTAGGATTATACGACAGTGAGGGATCCTAAGCTGTATAAAACATCCTACTTGTAAGTAAATAAGCTGAAATGGAAGTAAAAGCCTCCAATAGCAAATGACTTTAACCTTGGTCTGTTACGGCTGGTAGAATTGTTTCTTCCCAAATGAGATAATGTACAGTATATATGGCTGGCTCAACTCTTTCTTTCTCATCCCAATATGTGGATACCATTCATTTAGGTCCATTACTTGATTTTGCATGCAGGATGGTTTGTCCCAAATGATATATATCATGATTACCCAACAACTGCCCAAAGTGCACAACTTTCAAACAACGCGGCAGAGGAAACTTTTTTTTGGAGGATTTTTTTCCTCTCGTGTTATGCAAATCCCGCATACGTGTCAGTCATAATTGGACGTGATCCTAATTTTTTTTGTACGGAATCTGTCTGACCCTCCCGTGACCCCACCCTGGGGAACGTGCGTGTGGTTCTGGAAAGCACGGAATTCCGTGGCAGGTGAATTCCAGAGGACAGGTTGACTTTGAGAATGTGGGTGTATGGTAGTGATGTACTAGTGTATGCAAAGAAGGGGAGTCATGACGGATGGCCTGCGCTAGGACCCAGGAATGCCAGGGCAGTACATTTTCAGGTGGCATTTAATGCATCCGTGCACACAATATTCCCTCAGCTGGGTTCCCTCTATCAGGGCTGTCTAGGCACCATGCCATCTTCACCTGTGATTTATGTCTCCTGTCTCCCATGTAACATAGCACCACACTCTGTCAGGCCAACAAACAGGACAGGTGCCCTAATTCTTATCACCTGCAGAGACTTTTCCTTCGCACCACAGGAAAACCTCACTCTAAGTAATGCAGTACGTAGATCTAGGAGTCCATAACTACCTGACCGTAGGTGAGGGCATTACACGCTCGGGTTCACAAATAGGGCTGGCTTTCTGCAGTAATAGTTGGACATGCTTATGAAATTAATACACGCACATCAGGGACCCGAGGGACATCAAATATTGATAGACCCTTGGATTCGCTCCGGCTTGTTCCAGAATGGCAAAGTTCTGAGGTGGAAACGTTTTTTTTTAAAGCTCAGCGGAGTCGACACTGCGTGTGAGTAATGAGAAAAGTGTCAGCGAGTGAAACCTTGCTATTTGTAGTCAGGAAAGCCCTGTTAGGCCTGCCCCGACGGCTGGGAATTTGGGAATCAGTAGCAGTGGTTTAAGCAATTCTTCCAGCCCATTTCCCAATATCGGCAGGCGTCACTTCGTCCTGATGCCACTGATACCCGGCTTCACCCCCGCTCACGCATGAAACTCACTTTGAGTGGCAAAACCACCTTCACCGAAGGAATCTCCTAAGCCCTCCTTTCCTGAAATTCCTGCACGCCAGCGTACATAAATGCCCGTTTCGTGCACATTCCTCGTCAGCCAATCTACATGCAGGAATGACATTCCCCAGCTACAGGTCACATACTCTGTTGCAAGGTAAGGAATGACTAGGAATAAAACAATTCCCCATAGAACAACCTCCATCTGCATAGTATTACATGCCTGGTGCTTCAGTCAACACTGCGGAAAGCACTATCTTTTTTTTTTTGCGATTTACGGTTGAACGCCGTTTTTACGCACCTCGCTCACATAGATACCCAGGTCCTCTTCCTCATCAGTTCCGTAGCAGAGCGTAAGACCGAGTTTGTCCTCGCTGGTAGTTCGGCACAGCGTCACTTCCTATAGGTACATGGAAACAACATTCATGTTAATTTTCTTAACGATTAAATATTCAATCAGACAAAGTTGAAAGTCATATTTTACACAGGACTCACAAGTACAATGTACATGTGTAGGGTTATGAAACAACAGCCATCTTTAATAAAGTCTTTTTGGAGTAATTATCTATCATAATGTGAGAAATATGTCCCACTTTGTAGTTATATAATTATATGGTATATGGAAACGCATTCATGTTAATTTTCTTAAATAATACTTCAGACAAAGTTTAAAGCATTTTTTACACAGGTTGAGTGACTTATAGTAGCCATAGAAATGATAGCCATCTTTAATAAAGTTTTTCCGGTGTAATAATCTATCATAACATAAGAAATATGTCCCCCTTTGTAGTTCTACGCCCATGTTGTTTTCCCAGTTTTAACACCCTATACCCAGCTTGACCATTGCCAAAATGAATGATGTTGAAACGGGCTAATCCATTTTCCCCCCACCCTGAGTGCCTGACCTCTACTACGGCCCCCAACCTGGGCGTGAATAGAGTGCTCCCCAACCCTGACACCTGACATTTGCCTTTATGTGGTGCTTAACATTTCCGCTGGCCCCTGCTCTTTGGGATGATGCTTCCAGTGAGGATATAAACCCCCTGGCTCATGATTGCTCTGGGTTCATGGAGATCACAGATAAGATTCACCCCCCTCCCGTACAAACCCAACTGCCTGTCTATCTTCTGACATCATCAGCTACTTCCTGGCCGTATCCTGTCCGACTTCCTTCTACAAACCCCGGCTATCTTTCCTACACGGGTTTTCTTACTGATCATTTCAATTAGAGATAGTGAACCCCCTGCCCATATGGGATGTGGTGCTACCTTGTCATGCTTGGTCAGCGTCATGTGGTGAGGGGCTCACAGAAGTGTCCCACCTACAGTACGACACCCTGGGGACCACACTGTCATTCTGTCATTTCAGTCCCTTTTCATACTCCAATATTGTACAATTTCGAGAACTTTCTCCAGACTGAACACTTTGCGGTGAGATCAAGCCCTTCCTTGTCAGTATTCCACGCAGCTTTTCGGGATTATGTATACATGAACTATTACAAATAGAACCTGACCGTGGAAATGGGTATAATGGATAAAAACCAGCTAAAGCAGGACTTAGGCTAATCACAATAGCGTGCAGCGGCCGTATCTTTTAAGCCCGAATATGAGATAAACCCGAAATTTCAAAAGTGAAGAGAGGGATGCAAGTACATTTTTGTGAGTCATTTTGTTTGTTCAGCAGAGCGGGGTGCTGATATGTTGTGGGAGGGAACCGAGCCCCAGCCTTCATCAGCATTTTGATTGCCTTTGCTCCCAATATTTACAGTGTCAAGCTTTATGTCGGGGCTTGGCCCAAGCTCAGCGGAGGTTTTTTCCTATAAATGGTTTTACGAGGTGGGCTTTTAACCCCATGAAGAAAAAACGCATTACCGCGCTAATAAACTGACTAGTAAAATTCGTGTTACGGCATAATTTACAGAAAGTTTTCAACTGTTTTGCTCTGCAGAACTTCACAGATGGCACAGGCTGATGAAATTTTGGCTCTGCAGTGTGTTTCAATACCACTCCAATTATTATCCTTATATCAAATATATTCAAAATGCTTATAATATCTTTTAATTCATACAACTTGAGGCAGTTACAAAATGTAGACTTTACAGGGAATTGCTGTTTGCTTTAATTTCATAATTCTTAACATAATTTAATATTCATAACATCTTTCTCCTCTCTACTATTTTTCAATCACTGCATTCATATATTTTTCTGGCCTAGATGACAGCAACAAGCCCCGATCCCAGAGTTATTACAGGAGGGGGGGCCTAATTTATCTCTCCAGCTGTATCTGAGGGGGTGTCTATGGTAAAATTTTTGGAGCCGAGAAGCTAGCCTGTATACCGCCCCTGGCAACAGCCTGGCACCCAGGCTAGTATTTTTTGAAGCAGAAACACTCTCCAGCATACTGGCCCAGGCACGGACCAAACAGGTGTAGGGAGGGATCAGGTTCTACACAAGGTCAGGGTGGAAGATCGGATGTGGTCATGCAGGGCAAGTTGCTGCCATAAACTGCCAGATGCCTTGGTGAGTGCAGGTTCCACAGCACGTCAGAGTGTAACCTGCCCCCTCCCACAGCTGTACTTGGGTACAGATAGACACAGAGGGGTATACAGTATTCAGGACCATCCAGCTTCTGCTAGAGTTATCAGTGGGCCCCACATGCCTCCCCTCAAGTAAACACCAGCTTCAGGGAGGATCAAAGATCTGGCCGCAGTTGGCATCTTCATCGTACCATCTTCTATCTAAGGAATGCGACGTCCCCAATGGTTTATTGTCATTCCTGGCCGAGATTAAAATTCTAAATAGAATCATAACCATAGATAGAAAGCGCAGGATAGCTCTGACATGACATGTTCAGAAATTGGACCAATTCTTAGAGAAAGTACCATCTGGAGAAGTCATTGTTTATATGACCACTAGGAATGACAAGCTTGCTAATTTGAGTACCATGCAGCCAAGGGCAATAATTTATGCTAAGACATGTAATATATACTGTTTGAAATTCATTTTTCATCACCGGGGATTTGTGATACTTCCTCTGTACCCAAAGCTTTATTCCTTATCAGGGAAGTCCTGATAGTTATCAGTCTTTTCCATTTCCCCTTTTCTGTGGTTTTATCACAAATCATTCATCCCACTGTCTCTGGCACTGAGATGAGAAATTTCTGATCTGTCACTCAAAAGAAAAACAATCGTCCTCCATTCCTCATTTACCAATAATAATGCTTATAACAACATGCTTAGTGTTCTATTGGTTACTAGGACAACCCATCCCAATCCATCATTTAGCAGACAAGTGCACACTGAACAAATGGCTTGGGAGAGAATTGTAACCAAATCTGCTATCACTTCTCTGTAAAGACTGTAGAAAAATTCAGCAAGGGTGTATTGTATTCAAACTCTGTGATTACAATCTGATGTCCTCTGAGGTTATTTGGTCAACTTTAGGTCCAATTTGTAGCAGAGAATTGTAACCAAATCAGAAATTACTTCTTGTCTGGGAAAAATTGCTTGAAAATTCAGCTTCGGTGTATTGTATTCAAACTTCAGTGGTCTGTAATTACAATCTGATGTCCTCTGAGGTTATTTGGTCAATTTTGGGTCCAATTTGTAGCAGGAGGGGCTGGAAACTCGAGAGGGACGTCTAGGAAGGCTATCTTGTCCTGGGGTCAGGTTCCCATGCCCTGCCGCCTCTGTAGCACTGTTCTGTACCTACATTCTGGACCGGCTTTAATTAAAAGCTTTGACCATCCTATTAAAACAATTACATGGTGGCAGGGATTAGATTAGGACCGCTGCCTGGAACAGCACACATGGATGGCAGCGCTAACCTCATTTCCATGGGGTTAGGTGTCAACAAATGTTGGGTCCATTCAGGGGACTGGGCAGCAAGAAATTGGAATTATGTGGCCGGACAGCTGTGCAGACCAGTGGTGGTCGAAACAGAAACAAACCTTTTTTCAGGGACAGATGGACACATTAGTGGACACCAACTTATGGTCAACTTTCAGACACAGGCTTCAAATTTCACACCTCACCCACAGAAGTGGCATACATTTGCTCACTTTTTCACTCTTTGCTAAAAATCTAACAGCAACATTTTTTATCCTTTCCTACATAAATCGTTTTTAATAAAAAAGACAATCACTGGTTAAGTGAAAAATTTGCTCCAGATGCTGGTATACTAAAAAAAATCCCTATACTTTTGTGGTTGACATTGAACTCAAGGTTACATTCATCCCTGTCCATTTCTGGCGGACCCCCCACCTCCTGAGTCAAAACAGCTCAGCGGCGTACTTCGCTTATAGGCTTGAACCTGCAATTCTATCCGCGGGAGTCCCCTACAGAAGGTTGGTGACACAATACTGCTAATTTCTCATGTGTCTCACAGATTCAATGGACCAAATCCAGAGCTGCAATTTTGCATGTTTCCATGTCCACCTCACCTACTCCTAGGTATAATTCTTCCAGTATTTCTTGAAGAAACTTTTGTATATCATAAAAATGATGTTGAAACAAAACTGAAGTACATAGTTTCCCTGGCACAGCCATATCCATTACTGTCTCCCAAAATCTAGCCTGGATACTAGAACCATAGCATAAAAGTTACTTAGCGCCTAGCGTGCTATGGGTCTGGCATCTAGGCTACCAAGATCCCTGCCCTCCCCATTTTTTTGAGAACACTAGTACTAGCAGCACTGAAGGTGGTCTCTGGAAAATGCAGAGCTTGGCTTGGCCCCACAGACCCATCACTTCCATGTTGACTGTCAACTGCTACCTCCAACAATGCCAGCTTTATATTAGCCCACACTTGGCAGCCCACCAACACAGGCTCTCTAAGGACAAGGTCGCAAGGTGACAATGACTTTAACATCGTTGTGGTTGTTAGAACTTGCTCTGGGTATTCTTGAAATACTTCTAACAGCCAACTTTCCCATAGACGTGTCTGTATCTGCTTTTCTAGTCGCTAGTATTTCATAGGATGCAAAACTTGTATTAGCCTGGATGCCAGACCCATAGCACACTAGCTAGGCCTAGAGTTATTAGCCTTGGGGCATGATGGCCCTGAAGCTGAGTACCTGGCCTGTATAGGCCCTGGAAACAGTCTGACACCCAGTCTAAAGTTGTGTCAGAGTTTATTGACTGACTTTTACCTCATATTCAATGTTGTAGTTGTCGTCCAATGGTGGAAGGTCATCTGCAAACTCCAAGTCTTCCGCTGCATCGTACAGGTCACCGTAGGGACTGCACAAACAACAACAAAGAAAACACACATAAACACACTGTCAAACAGCCTCCCACAACAACAATAACACAACAGCATGAGGTCGTTAGCAAGTAACTGTTTTACAAACTCTCTTTCTACACTTCACTCCATTAAACCTGAGATGTTTTATGCAGTGCTAAAAAGGCGATACATTTCTGATGCCTCATTTCCTAGCCCTTTGTTCTGAAGTGTTTTATGAACCTGATTATTCAGTCCCGCTCTTTTGTTACCGGAGTCCATCTGAAGTGTTGCAGGCCAATCAACGGCTACTTGTGAAATGGTGGGGGTAGTTGACAGGGTATTGAGAGGTCAATTTTGACAGCCATTGTAAACTGACATGGTGTCCTCCCTTTGTGCTATTCTCCTTTTTTTTCTACCCTTTTCTGCACGTAATGGTGCATGGGAGATGTGGGCATTGTGTCCTGATGATAACTACGGTAATAACGGACCAGCTTCTAAAGACCGGCGCACAGTAGCCTGATATTAGTGCCCTGCAGGATAATGTTCTCTGATGCTATCAGGGTTGACAGATGATGCACCCCTGTCCTCCTTGGTGATGTTACCTCCAAGTGGACAAGACAGGTCATAGAAAGGGCTCTTCAATCACTGTCCGGACAGACCACACCCCACTGCCACCGAGGTCACTCTCAGAGCAGCCATAAACACTTGTAAAAAATTCAGGAGTACAAGACGCCAGATCGGAATTGTTATAGATGAGCAGATTTTGTGGCGTGCGAGAGTCCGAGATGGCCAGAAGCGGCCGCACATGAGTCACGACCGGCCAAATGGACCCGCTGGCCTAATGGCCCTACTAGGACCACTCCTGATGGCTTTTTAATGGTCAGCGACACTAGCTAGCCATCATGTCCAGGGGCTAGCCAAGCCCTAAATCCTACGAGCTGGTCAGTTGGAGCCAAAACCACTCTCTTTTACAATGAAGACAAATGAATTTTGAATCTGTATGTGTCCCTTTTTTGCCAGGCCAAGTGACCACTATCTACACCTCTTATACATTTACAGATAACCTTAGTTCTTATTCTTCTATAGACGGCTTACTGACTGAAACATATCAGTGCAATCAAGTCAGAACAGCCCATGGCAATATGCTTATGCAAAGATAAGTCAATTAGACATTATTACAACTTAGAAATGAATTGATACGTATACAGAATACAGGCTGACCCTCAGGCACTTTGACTAGGCTACGTTATATTGGCACAAAACAAAGCCTCGTTCTTGAAGTTTGAAAACAAGGCATGCTTTGTCCCCCAAGATTATCTCCGAGTTATTCCATCTCTAAGCTAGTTGACTGTTTAACCTGAAATGGTTTACTTTTGTGAAAGGTTTGTTGTGGCCAAAGTTGCGACCTCCGAAGCTGATGAGGTCACTGGGCCTGTTCTAATTTACCGACCGGCCAAACAAGAACAAGGTGCGCCAGGAAAAACTCAGGAGCGCTTTTCTGTCATCACTACATGTGAGGACCACAGTCTTGGTGCAAGGAGGTGTTCATCACACCCTGGACAGAAACTCTTTTAACATGTTTGGCGTGTCAACACTGTCTATTCTCCGCTTGTTTGCTGACTAAACAGGGCAAACAATTATAAATCTCCTTCGCCAATATTGACAGGAGGGCTACAGTCATTGGCTGGGGGGGGGGTCTTCTCTTTCGGAGAGCAAAGGATGAGGTTTTGTACTGAGAGGAGATTTCTCTTCTTGACTCAACAATGGGGAAAAGGCATGAGTAGCTCTCACAGAGGGCTGGTCCATGAACTTGCTGTCAAGCTTCTGATAAAAGAAATAATTTACTAGCACTAGCAACAAAGAGGATATCTTGCGTTGCAGGGGAGAAGGAAGAACAACACCACAAGGAAGAAGGAGGAAGCGCTTTACAGCGATCAGTGGTTTTGTTTTGAAAACATCCCCCAAGTGTGCTAAATGAGAAACTGTGGAACAGAAACATTTTTCTGTGTATATAGAAACATCCACATCTGAGCCCAGACAGACAGACAAGCATACATTGGAGGAAACAGCCTGTCTGCCTTTGGTCAAAACAGTCTTTCCTTTGTGTCAGGGGGTTGGAACGTGCAGGACTTGTACAGCATCATGATTACTATGTTTCCTGTCTAGAGATCGCTCCTTTCTTCGAGGCTCTGATGTTGGATTGAATTTCTTCGCCGCTGCTGCACAGAAACAAAGCTCCCAGCCATTCTACAGTGCGCAGCACTGACAACTTCCCCTGTCTGCATCCACTCAAAACTCAGACATACGCTCGCTTGTGTCATCAAGCTATGCTGCATAAGGATCAAGGTTCTTGATATATCTCAAAATGAAACGAGAGGCCAACATCAATGAATGCCACAAGTGCTGGAAAATATGTTTTGTTTCACCTTTTGTACTTTGAATGCATTTTTGCATCAAGACATTTACACAGCAACAATATTGCAATGTACCGCTATATTTTAGGGTGAAGAAATGCTACTGCAGTGCCTAGAAGTGGCCACTGCAGCAAAAAAATTTCGTCAAATAACAAAAACTGCACAGGTATTTTTGGTCTTGCTGTTTCTTCCTCAAAATGAACTAGCCATGACCCACATAGTGAAGCAGTATTCATTACAACTCAACAGATGATCTTAATTCTTCCTACATACAAAGTGCAGTTGTACTTTCATATTTGTGGTAATGTGGTTTACGTGTAACGAGGTTTGCATCCTTTGAAGTGATAAAAGAACACTTCGAGCTGCTTTTTTCCACACAAGCCCAGCTTTAACAAACTGTGTCACTGTTTAACTGTGTCAATCCTCTACTATTCACATGTCTCCATACAAGCCTAATCCGTCAAAGTAAGTAGTGTTGCAAAGGAAGAATCCGTTCCCTTGTTCGGTTGAACACCCCTGTACTTTTGGGTAGCGGGAAGGTTAAACGTCTTTTTCACGCCCGGATAGCGATCCTGGGGACTCCTTCCCTTGATCTAAAGCAGGAACCATTCATTCGCTAAATTGGATTTGTGGTTCACGGACTTGTCCTGAATCGAGAATTACAGACTTCACAATCAGCTGCTGTATCCTAAATACAACCCAGGGGGGGAGCAGAACCCTGACTTTTTCACACCTCTCTGGTATTTCATCACTTTGAGAGTGTTGGAGGATAGCAGGGAAAATCTGTGCTAACAAGGGATGGGTAATGCTAATAGCATTAAGCATTACGTCTGTACTTTATCAATATTTCACAGATTTGCACAAGACCTTTGCAACGGTGGGCTGGAAAATCTCAAGCTCCCAACCGCAAAAGTACAAATGGTTATTTTCAAGGGCTCTCTGATGGCATTGGTGTCATGTAACACTGCAGCAATAAATATGTCTATCAAATTGGGCTAGGGGAATATTATTTTCAGTACTCACAACGTCATGCCAAGGAGACACAGATATAAGGTTTTCAACCAACAGACATTAAAATGACCTGTAATTTTTCTAAAATAGTACCTATCCAAGTTCTAAGCCACTTTCTTCGAGCCAAAAATAAGATCATTTTTGAAGTATGGACAAAAAAAGGACAAACATTTCAAATCTACTGCTGTATTTGGAGCTATTCAATCACTTCCCACAAGCATGGCATCAGTGCTGAATGGGAAATTGTTGGTATGAATAGAAGGAACAGGAAAGAGTGAATAGGAGAATGGGTTACTCACTGGGGAGCTGTACCCTGCATGCCAAGGGGCGGTGGGGTGGGAGGTCTGTACATCCCCAACATGTAGTACGGGTCGGGGCCGATGTCCGTCTGAACCGCCGCGTCCACTAGACACGGCTCCCGCCGCTCCGGCTTGGCCGTCCCTTGCCGCGCAACGCTAGATCTCCGCACAACTTCCACAACGATCGGTTCCTTCGCCGTGCGAAAAGCCTCCACTGCCTCCTCATGGCTCGCTTTACTAAGGTCCTTTCCGTTCACCTGTGAGGAAAAAACAAGAAAAAAATGTTTATTAACCACGTAGAAAACCAACTTTGCAGCCTGACACTGTTCAACACTTTCATGCATCACAAATACGTACATATGTTCCGGTAAGCCCCGTGAAAAATAAATTTCCACAAGGAAGAATACTAGTATAAACCCAGGACACAAACTTACCGGGCGATCTGAGCAGAGGTAATTCCCCATCCTTATAACACAGCCTGGTGCTGGGAGCACCTACGTACTACCTCCCCTACCTAACCGTCCTGCCTAGCCTACTACACTCCTGAGATTCCCTACCCTGTTTGCCAGAGCTACTCACTAACAATCACACACACGCAGGGTGCCTCCCGCCTGCCTTTGAACCACGAATGATGGACTAATAACTTGCAAACTCATTCCCACCTTACGGGTGATTTGTCACCCCGCCTTATCTGCATAAAATTTGGGACATTTTCTAATAGAATGTATACCCCAAGTTAAGATCTATGCATAGGTAATGAGGGTGATTACATATGCGGACACTCCCCCCTACTGGCTGGGACTGAGCAGCGAATCAAATACAGCCACTTAGTCTCTAACCAGGTTGTTAGCATCATTCGAACGTGCACACACGACACACATGCCTCAGAACAGTGACGGACTGGAACCATCAAATATGAATAGGCCGAACAAAAGTGTGAAGAAAGCAGTGGTAAATTATGTCCACTGTTATTACAAGCCCACATCCACCTATCGTCGTCGACCCATTAGGCTTTTCTTCAGCGGAATTTTATGACAGACCAGGGAGACATAACTCAGGCAATTATTGCACCATTGCTTTATGATTAAAAATACATAAAACTGGCCTCCCTCCAAAAGCTTATTATACACAAGTGCCTGCCTGCATATGCATTTGTCAATGATTAATGCCCACAACATTTATTTCCACACTCCAAAACTGACAAGGACAAAAAAGGGCTATGAATATCTGAACATTTCCAATTAAAACTACGGGTATGCGCGGGCAAAGCACTGCTACGGTATGACGCCTTGCCTAGCTTCTACACAGCTGCCCATTCTTACTACATACATTTCCTCAGGCTTGCCTTGGGTTGAGCCTGTAACATTACATGTAGTCTATGTAGCCAGTCTCCTGTGACCACCAAAACTTCAACACCAAAGGCAGGAATATATTGGACAGGGATATAGTATGACTCAATCACGAAACCCTAGCTGTTCTCATTATATGGTCGGGAGAACACCAAAAGGTGTGGAGAGTGGACAATCCACATCTGTCACTGTCGTGGTCCCGCCCCTTCATCACACATTGTCTGGACAGCACAGAAACCTGTCAGAAGCAATAATGGGCTAGTTTCTTGTACAATGCCTTATCTCGAGGTTACTAGAGCGAGATGGGGAGGCTGTAGCCAGAGGGAGAGCAGCAATTAGCTCAAACCATGGCATGGGTTAACTGAAAGGATTCCTGATACTTAGGGGAGACATATATCATCACTTTTTGCTCATTTCCTTGTTTGGGTGGCCAAGCAGAAAGGCTCGGACAATGTACAAATTTTCAAGCACTGAATGCCAGGCCCCATTCCTCATTATAGCCAGCGCCACAGACTGTGTGCATGATCGGATGACTTTCGCAAGTTCCTTTCTTGCTAATTATAACTATAAGTGCAGAAGCAACATGTCATGAAATGGATACAGTTAAATAATGATATTATAATGTATCTAGATGTTATCCTGCAAAGGGAGGTTTGCAGTTTGTAGTGGTGGTTGGCTTGGTTACGTGGAGGGGGGGGGGATGTTCATAAATAATCAGTAGGTCCAGCTTCACTTTACAACCCAAAGGGGAGCCCTAAATCATGTGGCTTTTCATTTTGATGGTACAGGCTGACCCTACGCGCTACCATCAGGACGCACATGCCCCACTGGCGGCCAATTGAGCCAATTCTATTTCATAGGACCAGGGGACAGCTAAACCGCTACCGATGGTCCTGGGGTGATAACGACCCACAGGAGGACTCCAGCCATATTGTCTGTATTTGAACTTGTCATCGGAACAATTGCATCCGGGGGTGGTAGAGTACCGGCCTCCGTAACCCCTCCCGTAGAAACCAGTGAACCCGCAAATACCTCTTTCATAAAGCGGGATCTTCCGTAATTCTATTTCCAAATCGTACCAGACACCGCGATGTCCCTCGCTACTACTGCGTCCCGCCGGCCTTAGCCAACATGCATTGTACGGCAGACGCCACCCCGCCATGTTTCAGGCCGGGCTGACCACTGTCTAGGAAAAGTTGGCCATGCATCACACAGGGCAAACACGGGGTAAGCTTGTGGACAGGCATAATAGTGAGGTCCTGACCTGCCTTGTAACCCTGCAGTCCAACACTGACCCCCCCTGATCAGTATACAATACCCCCACCATTACCATTAGGACACCGCAGCATCCGAGGAGCAAAGAAAAATAGGGCTGGATTCTACACAGCCAAGAGATGGTTTCCTAACTACTCGGACACATCAAGCCAGTGTACTGGTGTCATCAAAAAGCCATTAGGTGGCATGAACTCAGCTGCCTGCCCTTTCTACTGCCTCATTAGTATATATTATGCCCCTCCGTGGACACATAAATGACATTATGATAAAGTAGAGGACATAGGGAAAGGTGGGGTGATGTCCTCATTACCCCATGCTCCGAACCTAGTGATTTACAACCGAGGGGGCACAACCTCTCTCCGGTCAACCTCTAGGGGCAGATGTGACCACTGGACCTTCCCAAAGAAAAATTATCGAAAAAGACTTCAAAGTACGAAACGCACTTCTTATCGCTGTTTGAACCACTCTATGAGTCATACTGAGCGCTTTGCCGCGGCGTATCTTTCCAGAGAGGTGCGACGAAAAGTGTTGCAGAGAATATTACGTTCGGATTAGTGCAGAGCGGTCTTCTCACCCGTATCGCCATGGTTACTCGTGCGTCCGTACTAACCCATTTGCCGATGCAAATCCGGTCAGTAATGTATGCATGGGATGAGATCATGCTGTAAAAGATGTTATTTCAACTTCTGCGGCGTACACGGACCCCCTGCTGAGGGAAGACTGGCACGCAATTTTCCGTTTTACGACCCCTGCATCGCCCATAAGGAGAAAATAGCAGTACTGGAATGGACAGCACAATCCAAAAGAATGCATACCACTTCGCTCATCGTTACACCATCTGTAAATCAGTCGTCCGTCCTCGCTGTTTCGTGATGCTGTCCCTCTCTCTTCCCTACGCACAACCTGTGGTTAACACGTACAGGCATTCGAGTACGGAAATATCTTAACTCTGATGTCTGGAAATAGAAACATGCCTTGAAGTCTGGCCCTAGGCCGTTGGTGAGGAGATGATCCATGTTACGACAACAGGAGCACGATGTCAATTAAGATTGCTCAGCCATATGCAAATGAGCCAACAGGTCCACAGGCCATCCCAACTATGTGCTAACAGTTTACACTTGTCAATGTCAAGTGCGTTGATGTTTGCCCTGCCAAACAGGAACTGTTGAAAGAGAAGGCTACTGCCGTTTTCATCAAAGCATTCTCCCATTTTGATTCATTTCTGCTTGCAGGATTTTTTGCTGAGTGGCTTAGCTCACGTTACAGGCGGCAAGCAGTAAAGAGTCTTCAAATTGCCGTTCTGCAGTTAAATAAGGGAAGGCGCAGCATAGAGAATTTGGCAAAAAAATGAAGAAAAATGACAGAACACATAATAGGCAGACTTTAATTCCAATTCTGCGCCACAGAGGCAAAAAGAAATGACTCATAATTCAATGTTTTCAAATGTTGGGAGAGATTTAAGTGCAACGGAAAGCCCTTTCACCTTATTAGCGATTGCGAGGGGTCCATTTGTATAAAATTCCCATTTTGTCCATTTGTCTCCTGTCTGTGAATCGGCATGTCTGTGATGCTGGGCCACCACTTTGCTTTTCCCCACAGAAAGACAAGTTGGCTGGAAGATTGCCAGAGTGGCATCTAATGGGAGGGTGACAGGGCCTCCCTTCAGGCAAGGTCACTGATAACACTCTTTTGGAAAACCTCCTGTCAGGATGAAAAATAGACCTCCTTCCTATACCCTACTGTTAATGGGTCAAGAGAAAAATTAATGGCCCCTCTCATTCAAAGCGGTGGTAGGCGCATAACAGGAATGAAGTGGCCAAAAGACCGGGAATTGTCGGACGTTTTCTTGGCCAGTTGGTCCAAGAATGGCCCGCAAGCCGCTGCCTGGGGAGGGTTCAAGGGTCAGGTGGTCACAGCGAGTTCTCACACCACTGGCCACTTTTAGTACCAAATGAAGCGCATTTAAATTTTAACTATCACACACTGAAGCATCCTTGCACCATCCTGCCCTCGAGCACTGATTTACAACGATATCTGTTCTAGTCATGTATCTGATCCACTGCCTTATCTCTAAAAGGAACTTTTAGTTCAGTGTTTCACACTGATGACCCATAATTGCAAGTGGGATAACATCTTTCTGGCTAGAGGTACGGATATACAACCACATGTGCTGTGCTGTATTTCAGAGAAGCAAATATATCTAAGACGATTGAGAAATATTACAGCCTGAATTCCTGAACATGCTCGAAAGACATTACTGTCAGCACCCCATAGTTCACAAAATATGATGTATCACAAGGGTACTAAATTGTTGCTAAAGCCTTGGCTGCTTTCCAACGGCAATTGGTCTTTTTTAATGTGTCTGTCAGTTTTAGGCACATTTAGGGCGTATGCCTACTACGTGTTGTGTGTATGTGTGTGTGTGTGTGCATGTCTTTGTACGTGCCCGCATCAGCTAGGTCTAATTAGAGGAAATTTACCGAAATGACTGATGTTCGTTAGTAAGCGGAGAACTCAGAGCAAAGGCATCATCAGGGGAGCAATATCAAATTTTTTGTCATACATTCTCAGAGGCGGATCACTTCAACCTTGTTAGTTTTATAAGGCCTTATCATCCCCTTGGGAACGCATGT